GGTCAAGCCCAATTTTTCAGAATGAGATGGAGCCAGTATCTCAATGAATGAGAACCCGGATGACTAGTTCCAATGCCTCTGTTGGAACAGTGGCAGAATTCTGGAGCCTGTCTTCTCAACTGATGCTTGTATGATGAGAGACATTCTGGCCATACCATAAACAGGTGTGGGTGTGGAATGGGTCCTCCAACACTGCACAAGATATCTGTCATTATCAACAGTCATGACTTCATGGGTCCACCATCAAGAAGATCATGTTGCTTAAACATGGAGACAAGAAGCACATGTTTGATGAAGTTCCTAGTCTCAGAGGAGAACTGGCAAAGAAGATTGATGGACTGGAGGATGAAATAGCAGAATTTCTTGAGGCTGAGGCTGGGGGTGGATTAACAAGAGATGAGGAGAGACAATTGGCTCACTTGTTGAAATAGTGGACATAGTAGTGTAATTAAAATGAATTACTTAATTTACTTTCTTCAATTGCTCAAATGGCCTCAAAGATGCAAGGACTGTTACCAAATTTCATTATTTTTATCATGTGATCTGTTGGGACCAGGATTCCAGTCCCAACATTCTTTACAACTGTTCTCATCCCACCAGCAATATGATGTTCTGTAACCCATTCCATTGCTAATGTTTGAACCCAGTCCCAGGTTTCTTGATGGGACCAGATTTCTGAAACTGTTGGAATCTGAAGAATCAAGTCTCAAGATCCATCCCTCCCAGACACCATTGAATCATGTTCTGTTCCAGACTCAAGATTTTGACCCAGTCCCATCTCAGAGAAGGGACATGGGACAGGAAATGAGGGATCAGTTCTGGAATCCCAGTCCCATCAGCCCAGCCTATTAGCATTATCAATAGTGTCTTACTGACAATGAATCTACAAAACACTGTATGTGACATGTGATTCTGACAACCCCCTCAAGTCTTTCTTCTTCTATTGGAGATAAGTTTATTCAATCTATCTGATGGACTTCTGATCTAAGGTCTTTGGAGATAAAGTCTGATCTGATAGAAGAGAATGTGATTCCAGCACTGTCTATTGTATAGCATTGTATATTTCTTTTCTAGTCTAGTCTCTATCAGATATAGATCTCATTTATGAAGCTTAATGATTTCTGATGCCTACCAGCATTGAGCCCACTGTTGTACATATATATAGATAGTCTAGTTCCCCTTCAGTAGGGGGACCAATCCATCTTTGATTCTCATATCACACTTAAGTTGAATTCATAATAAAGAAGAACATCAAATCCACTTTTAAAGTCACTGACATCAACTTTTTAAACTTCAACAGAATTCTCAAGATCTTTAAAAATCAGTCAAATTTGAACAAACAACTGTCAACAGCTAATTACCCCTCAATTTATTAAACAGTCTATAACTTCTATAACTGTCCAGAGAGTTTAAAGAATGATTAAATCTATACATAAAGAGCAGACTCATGTTAATCAGCATATTGAGAAGCTTATGCATGCTGTTGAGCATCTTGTTATAGAGAAGGAGATTCTGAAGCATGAGAATAATGCTTTAATTGAATCTTTAAAGATTGAAAAGAGATAACATCAGTGTGACAAGATAATGAATCTTTTTGATTCTGAGAAGTCAGAGTCTGCTCAATTCTTTTCTTCTATAAAAGTAGCTCAAATTAGGGAGAGAAATAAAGAATTAGAGAAGTAAAAAAAACAAGAGAAGACTCAAAAGAAAGAACAGAGACTTCAAAAAGCTATAGTAAGAGATGTAAAAATTGCAGAAGCTGCTGAGAGAAAGAAATCTCAGAAAAGAGTCTGTAAAAAAGCTTAATGATTTAAAGCAGTTGAAAAAGCTGAAAAAGCTGCTTAAAGAGATACTGAAAAGTTACAGAGAGAGCTTAAAAAGATCAAAAAAGAAGAAGAGAAGCTTAAAAGAACTTATAAGAAAGAGAAGATTAAACAACAGAAGAAGAGTTGTCAAATTAGAAAGAATGACTTTATGAGAAAGAATTCAGCATGATCAGAATCTCTCAGAAACTCTCTTATAGATCTAATCTTCATGAAATCAAATCTGAAGAATTCTCCTCAAGCAGATTCAACTCTTTCAGCTTTGAATTCAACAAATGCTGTTGCTCTTATTTCAGAAGAGTCAATACTGATCTGATCCCACTCCAGCCACATTATTAAGTCATCATAAAGAATTTTGGATAATCTATAGAGATTTATATGTAATATTCAATTGGATCTACTAGCTACTAATATTTTATTTGAATATCTTCCTTTGTTGTTGAGATATTGGGGAAGTTGGTTGAGGGTAGGATTTGATTTTGGTGTTCATTGGGTAGGGATGTTCATTGGGTGGTGAAATATGTTAGGTAATCAGCAGGGTCACGCTAGCCCTAATACGGCGATTCAGCGACACGTGATAGAATAGCTGACTAATAGTTGGTAAATTGCGTTGAGATAGAAAGTGGCAGCGAGATGGGGATTCGGCTGGAATGTGCATCTCATCCAATCTTCATATAAACGACGGCGAGAAGAGACCAGCAGCCGGGCCACCACCAGGAACGGCGTCAGATGTCAACTCCAGGGCGTGCTCGGGGCACAGAATAGACGACTTGCAGCTCTCACGACCATGACGGCGACAACATCAAATCGCTTCCCCGCGGCCGGCCGGGTATCCGCGGGGAGCGGGAGGTTGTTCGGCGGGTGCCAGGCGAGTGGAAGCACAAAGGGCGATGGGAGACGATGTGAATAGCCTAACTAGATGAGAGGCCGGTGAGGTGTTGGCGGTCTTTTGGTCGGGAAATTCTGCTGCAAAGTTTAAAGCGTTAAGAGTTTTCGGGAAATGCGATTTTTGGACGCCATCCAGACACTTGTGACTGCGCTTCCTCTCCGCCCGCACGCCCTTTCGCCGAATCTCTTTGTGTGTATCGAGCATTGAGTCTTGGATATATATCTCTCGATCAGAGACGTCTTGTGTATACACTGTCCTGTCTGCGATCCTGCCTGTGACTCACCCGCTGGTTATCTCAGCCAGACTACGGAGTACCCCGCCACCACCAAAAGATTTCTTCTCCTCCCTCCCCGCCGAACCCCAAAGATTCTTGCGCTTCATCTGAGATACCCATTCCCACCACATCCTCCTCTCTTCTATAGCCCACAATGACTTCCGATCAACCCCAGACCTCCGCCAATGGCGGCCCCGCCCCCACAGACTTCGTCGTCAAGGCCGGTCTGGCACAGATGTTGAAGGGCGGAGTCATCATGGACGTCGTCAATGCAGAGCAGGTGCGTATATTCTCCCAGCAATTGACTTGTTGCACCGCTGAAGCTGACCTTGGTCGCCATGTCCTTAGGCCCGCATCGCTGAAGAAGCTGGCGCATGCGCCGTCATGGCCCTCGAGCGCGTGCCAGCAGATATCCGCGCCGAAGGCGGCGTCTCGCGCATGTCTGATCCCTCTATGATCAAAGAGATCATGAGCGCAGTAACCATCCCGGTCATGGCCAAAGCCAGAATAGGCCACTTTGTCGAATGCCAGGTAAAACAAAATTTCCGATTCAATCTCCACGAAACTGCAGCACCCCATCTAACCTCCCCAATCCCATAGATCCTCGAAGCCATCGGGATCGACTACATCGACGAATCCGAAGTCCTCACCCCCGCAGACCACGCCTACCACGTCATCAAGCACCACTTCAAAGCCCCCTTCGTCTGCGGCTGCCGCAACCTCGGCGAAGCCCTCCGCCGCATCCAAGAAGGCGCCGCCATGATCCGCACCAAGGGCGAAGCCGGCACCGGCGACGTCGTCGAGGCCGTTCGCCACATGCGCACCGTCAACGCCCAGATCGCCCGCGCCAAATCCATCCTAGCGTCAGCGCAGTGCCCCGAGGTCGAGCTGCGCGCGTACGCCCGCGAGCTCGAGTGTTCGTACGAATTGCTCCGGGAGACGGCGGAGAAGGGCCGTCTGCCGGTCGTGAATTTCGCGGCTGGCGGCGTGGCGACGCCTGCGGATGCGGCGATGATGATGCAGCTGGGCTGTGACGGGGTGTTTGTGGGATCGGGCATCTTCAAGTCCGGCGATCCCAGAAAGAGAGCCCGTGCCATCGTGCAGGCTGTCACGCATTACAATGACCCCAAGAAGCTGGCTGAGCTCAGTGAGAACTTGGGCGAGGCCATGGTGGGCATCAGCGTGCAGGAAATGAGTGAGAAAGAGAAATTGGCGAAGCGAGGATGGTGAAAGAGGGGAAAGAGGGACAGGAGCCTTTTGGAAAAACAACATACCCCTTTTCTGGATTCCCAGCTCAACCACTCGGTCTGATGATAGTATATGATATGATATGGGTGGCCTAAAATCTTAGCGTTTTTGTCAAGCGTGATGTATATAGGTCTGAGGAATATCCCACCATTACCAGCACGGAATCGAGCAGAAAGATAGAAAGGAAAAAACCTGTAGAGAGTACCTAATCAACAAAGTTTTGTATAGAAACACTTTTCATTCCATATTCTTCTCTTGTAAAGTACTCCGTCCCGATCTAGTGCCATCCAGAATGAACGCTCTGTGCTTTTCCTACGCTCTACTCCAACCCACTCTTAAAAAAGCTGAAACAAATATTGGATCAAGATCAACCAAGTTAGGCATACGCAAAACCCTTACCTCGGCACGAAATCCAAAACTCTTTAACTAGATTATTCGTAGGACGTGATCCTCTTAATCCCAGGATTGCTGACAGGAATCTTTCCCGCTCAGCTTTCGAAACAACAGGACCTGAAGCCTGGCCGTTACTGGAATGCGCCGCCGCAGGGCCTTCTGCCATGGTTATATCTAAAGAGGCGAGTGCATTTCCAAGGTGAATCCGTGCGGCGCTTTGGTGCTGGAATATGAATTTCTTAATGACTTCGCTAAGATGGTCAAGATCAGAACGAGCGCATCGCCCCGCGACCTGTTTGATCAACACGTCCCCCAGTTGTGCGATGTATGTGTCAAATGGTTTTGGCGCAACAATCGCTAGATCCCCTTTCCTTTGACCGCTGGGAGTGAACGCAGGGGGTAAATTGGGAAGGCTCAATAGCGTAGCCCAAAAAGAACATGCTGCACGTAGAGGAAGAGTATCGGGGCCCTTGAGCGTAACGATCGTAAACTGCAAGATGGCTTCTACCATTTGAAGCTTGTCGGGCGATGCTTCACTAAGACTAAAAAGGGCCTGGTTATACTTGGGAAGCAACCGCGTGAGAAAGTCGATGCAACTGTGAGCCGCTTCCGGATCGTACTGCAGCGGATCTTGTGCCATTTGTACCATGAGACCGTAACAATGGGCGATAAGATCGACGACTTCGTTGTGGATCTGTGCAGGGTTTGAAGCCCGCGATGCTAAAAAGGCTGACGCGGTTCCCATTACAACTGGAAACCGAGCAGACGACGTTTTAACCGATTTCACAAAGCGAACTGTTACTTCCGGAGGAAGTACATAAGGACCCGGCACTCTTTCCGTATATCCGGCTTTGAGTATGTCGCACGCGCTTTCAATGATATCTCCATCGGCAGAGAACTCGTTCACTAGGTACTCAAGAATGTTGACGATAAGCACCTGAAGTGAAGTCCCACGAGGATCGTTCAACCAGAATATGCTTCCACCGGGGCGCCGTTGATCTTCGTCCCCATCATCGAGATCGATGACAAGGTCCTCCGGGGCACGAAGCCCCTTGCCAATGCTTGCCGTGCAGCCCATCACCCTCAAACCACCTGCCAAGCCCTGTTCTTGCCGGCCACTACGCGCCATTTCCACGGCCTGGTTTGCTTCTTGGCATAAAGGATCAAGCAGCTTCGCCAGTAAAGTGGCTTTTGCGGGCTCAGGATCAACAGCTTGAATCACCGAAGCAATCCCTTCTGCAACCCGTTCTACGGTATGACTGTTTGTGGACGGGTTCGCATGGATTTGAATAAATTTGCTGACAAAATCCTCGATGTAAACCGTAAGAGCCCGACGACAAGTTCCGCATAAAGTTGAGATCGATTTCGCGGCGGCATGCTCAGAACTTGGCATTTCCAGTGAGCTGAACAGAAAGTTCAAAGCCGGCGGGAGGAGGTTATGATTCCTTTCAAAGTACGGCGTGTATCTCGCAATCACGTCAGCCAGAGTTTGGCGAGCTTTCAATGGAATGTCCGTTCGACCGAAGCATATTGCGTCGAAGAGTTGTGATTGGAATAGTGCGTGCAGCAGGTTGTCAGCATGCTCATTCTCAGCAATGGTATCTGCCAATGCTGCCAGGCAAAACATGGCAACCTCAAACCTCTCCCAGTCATGGTCACGTATGGCGATGGCTGCTCGTTCCTGGATCTGCTGGACGACTGGAACACCCAAAAGAGGATATGCGGCCTGCAGAAAATCACTGAAATCCCGTCGGAAGGCGTTGAACAACTTCACATCGTCCTCTACCCACTCCTTCAGGGTAGATGGATTCGGATATCTGAGTTTGTCGAAGCATTCTGCAATAACGCGTGTAAAATTCTCCTTGATTGCCGGCGTCGGTTCATCAAAAGCGCCTTCCATAATCAAATCGTTGATATTATCGGCAGCCTCCGTCCAAAACTCAAGTAGGATATTGATCGCCGTGTCATCGACCGCGGCGAAGCCAGGGGCATGGAATAGTTTGAATAATAGAAACAGAATGCGTTCTTGCTTAGCGTCAGGAGGTTGAGTCAGAACTCGAACCTGCTCATCCGAAGAAGAAAATTTGACAAGCAAATCCAAAAAGCGCACTTGCTCGTCCTCGAAATCTCCCTTGAGGATGTCTAGTGCATATTGCTGACCATTCTGGCCAATCAAAAAGTCTAATACGCAATCGAAATGCTTCGAATGAAGTAATTTAGGCTGATTTGTGATGAGATCCAGGACAAGGTCCATCACATCCTGTGCAAGGCCAGGTTCGGAGATGAATCGAAGAGAGCAAGTCAGGGGAACATTAACAGCGGCAGAGATGGCAGGCTTGTCCACACGAGTGCCTCGCAATGCAAAAATCCAAGCCTTGATACTTATGGTTAGTGCATTGATTAGACAAAAAAAATTGCTTGCTTACGTGCAAAGATTTAATAGCCTCCAAGGCAGTGTTGCTTGATTGATTGGATGACACGGTGGTTGCTGGAGCTTGTGCAATCACACGTTGAAACGCATAATTGATCAAGAAAAAAGCATCATTCAGATTTGCTACGAGCCGGTCATGATAGTTGATACTTTGCCGTTGTCAGAAAAACCGCTGATTGTGTATGACGAAGGGGCAATGATACTGACCTACTTGAACTATGTCGCATAGACTCCTCTGCAAGCGTAGTGGAGAAGGATAAGACGGCTACAAGGCGGTCATAATTGAGTGAGGGCAAGGCAAGAGCCTGAAAGGTTTGCTGGTCTAACTGCTCCTCGGGCAAGTACTTCCCATTGGCTAAGGAGATGGCAACATGCCGGATGCAGTGTGTCCACGGAGCCTGGGGCTTGAAGAACATGGTGGTCATGGATGCTATGAATTTCCTCATGACTACCGTTGTTTCGTGCTTGCCGACTAAGAGCACAAAATAATCGACAAGCCGGACGAGCAGCTCTCCTATAGACTGTTCCCCTAGATTATTCCTACAATGCGGATTAGCTTTATCAGGGGAAGCGTGAGGCGCCCAGGCTTACCAATCTTGATGGATTTTCATAGTTAGAGTAAGGGCGCCGTAAAACCGAACATTTGCGTCGTCATTTGCAAGCAGGCTGTCGGCGATTGTCCAGCCGGCAGGAGACTTTTGTAAGGCCTGCAGACGCGCTTGGGCATTCTGAACAAGGCTAGCATTACCAGGAGCGCTCAAAAGTTGAGCAAGCTGTTGGGAGATATTAGCTGATCAATCGCTCGGATTTGGTTAAGAGAGCAGGGAACGGTGCAAACCAACCTCAGTCGCCTCCCGGATCAGCTGCTGGGTGTCCCCTTCTTTCTCCATGGCTGTCCACGAGGTGGAGGAGGCAGCCACCGGCTCTGTCGAATGAATATGTTCCTTACACAAGCGGGTGATGATTGGAAGCGTGGTGTGAACAGTGCTGATGCCTTGGGTTCTCCGCAGCAGCAGCAGCAACAACAACAACAACAGAAGGAAAGGAAGACAGTCAGTACTGTGACACCAAGTACTGGCCGAACTGGACAGAAAAAGTACGCAGGAAAGCGCATCCACAGTTAGGGTCCAGAGAAACAGTGGAAGACCCAACCATCAAGCAAAAAGGCACCAAGTGAGTTGAGTTTGAGAGGCGACAGTGGTTCCTTAGGACAACAATGCAACGGTTTGTTTGCCAACAGCCAGGCTGGTTCCATTTCCCGGGCGATAGTCGGCTGTTTTAATCCCTTTCTTTCTCTTTTGATATCAGGCCGTTGCGGCTGTCAGTGCAACTTAGCAGACGGGATGGAGGCGAATTCATTCCACAGCCTCTGGATGCCCTCTCACACCAACAAGGCCCAAAGCCGGGTTTGTCAGATAGATCTAAAGCTGCCGGAGAGATACAAGAACAGAACTAGAATATCAGAAGCCCACATTATGACGTGGGGAGAAGGGAGGAGTGCATCACATCATCATCACCAGTTCAATTGTGTGTGAATTTGGCCCTCAGGCGGTTTGCCGGATGGCGGTGTTGCTTGGCACCGGCTGGGTCCCGTGATGGCATTCCGTCATCAGCAAAGAAGAGAGATATCGCGATGCTCGTGTGCCCAAGAGAGCAGAGGAAGTGTCGATACTCAGCATCCCTGGCCCTGCTAATTAAGTTAGCTACACGTGCAGCACTGCACCAGACAGTTCCTTGCCTATCCGCGCCCACCCCTCCTCGCTCCTCTCTCCCGTCTCCCCGCTTACGCCCTGGCTTTATCTACCGTAGATGACCCTATTTCGCTGCTCTCTCCGCCTCTGTGTGCCTTCACTTCGATTCCAGAATCGCAGCCGGTTCTTCTCTGTCAGCCGTCGATTGTTTACCACCGTCGACATGGGCCAAGTGGACACTTTGCAGCGCTTGACGAGGTTGAGGGAGTTGATGAAGGAGCGAGATGTCGATGTATATAGTACGCATTGAGATAGCCCAGCCCGTTTTCCCCTCTCAATGGGACCTAATCACTCATGCTTTTGATCTTTTGAATAGTTGTCCCGTCCGAAGACAGCCATCAGTCAGAGTACATTGCGCCATGCGACGCCCGTCGAGGTTAGAGCTCGCCCTTCCCATCTGCTAGACAACACCAAAGCCATTGCTTATCCTGTTCCTCTCCAGCATTCATCTCCGGCTTCACCGGCTCTGCGGGATGCGCCATTGTCTCCCAGAGCAAAGCTGCATTGTCCACAGACGGAAGATACTTCAACCAAGCCGCGAAGCAGCTCGATAACAATTGGCTCCTGTTGAAGCGTGGAATGGAAAATGTTCCCACCTGGCAAGAATGGTAGGACTACTGGGCATCTAGCTCTACCTTCCCGCAGTGTTTAACTCGTCTCCAGGACTGCCGAGCAGGCAGAAGGCGGTAAAGTCGTCGGGGTTGATCCATCGCTCATCACTGCTGGTAACGCAACCCAAGTCACTCTGTTGTCGCAGTGCCACCATTGACTCGTGTTAGCTGAGGCTCGCAAACTCTCCGATACCATCAAAGGCTCCGGCGGGTCCCTCGTGGGCGTCCCAGACAACTTGGTCGACCTGGTTTGGGGAGAAAGCCGTCCTCCCCGCCCAAGTGAACCAGTCAGGGCTCATCCTCTTGAATATACGGGGAAGTCTTTCGAGGATAAGGTCGAAGACTTGCGCAAGGAACTGTCCAAAAAGAAAAAGGCCGGCATGATCATTTGTATGAAACAGGATGGCTCACTTCGCGGGACCTAACTAACAATGTCCAATAGCCATGCTTGATGAAGTGGCCTGGCTTTTGAACCTGCGAGGTGCCGAGTATGTCAGCTGAACCCTTGGTTGCCAAAGCTGCACTGACTGGCTCTCATAGTATCCCATTTAACCCGGTTTTCTTTGCATATGCCGTCGTCACTCACTCCGCCGTCGAGCTCTACATTGATTCATCCAAATTAACACCAGAGGCCAAGGCGCACTTGGGCGACAAGGTCGTTTTGAAGCCTTACGAATCTATTTTCGATTCCGCCAAATTGCTGAGCCAGTCTCTGGCTACCAGCGACGACAACTCCCCTTCAAAATTCTTGTTATCGGACAAGGCATCTTGGTCTCTCAACTTGGCTCTGGGCGGTGAGGAGAAGGTTGAGGAGGCGCGTAGCCCCATCGCAGATTCTAAAGCTGTCAAGAATGCTGTCGAGCTTGAAGGAATGAGGGCTTGTCATATCCGTGACGGAGCCGCTCTAACAGAATATTTTGCCTGGCTGGAAAACGAGCTGGTCAACAAGAAAACTGTTCTCAGCGAGGTCGATGCATCTGACAAACTAGCGGATATTCGCTCAAAACACAAGCACTTTGTTGGCCTGTCCTTTGACACTATTTCTTCCACAGGCCCCAACGCTGCTGTCATCCATTACAGGGCAGAAAGAGGCAATTGTCCCAACGTTGACCCCAATGCTATTTACCTTTGTGATTCTGGCGGCCAGTATCTCGACGGAACAACTGACACGACGCGTACTCTTCATTTTGGATCACCCACTGAAATGGAGAAGAAGGCGTATACGCTGGTTCTGAAGGGCATGATCAGCATTGATACTGCAATCTTCCCTAAGGGAACTACCGGATACGCAATAGATGCGTTTGCTAGACAACACCTGTGGCGATATGGTTTGGATTATCTGCATGGTACCGGTCATGGAATTGGCTCGCATCTGGTATGTACTCCGAACTCCGGCTTGTTTTTTCGTGCAATGCTTACCAGTCGAATAGAATGTCCACGAGGGTCCTATGGGTATCGGTACACGCGTCCAGTATGCTGAAGTACCCATTGGCCCAGGCAATGTGTTATCAGATGGTATGTTGGTCCCCTAGGCACATCAAAGACTTTGTGCGCTCACGGTTGCATAGAACCCGGTTACTATGAAGATGGCAATTTTGGAATTCGAATTGAGAGTATGATGTCCTCTTCCCTTGCATACTAGCCTGTGCTAACCCAACTCTAGACGTTATTCTCGCCAAAGAAGTTGAAACTCCGCACAGATTCGGAGACAAGCCGTGGATTGGATTTGAGCATGTCACCATGACGCCTCTCTGCCAAAATCTTATAGATGCTTCTTTGCTCACAGCAGAGGAGAAGAAATGGGTGAATGACTATCACACTGAAGTTTGGGAAAAGACAAGCGGATTCTTTGACAGTGATGAGCTGACCAAGACTTGGCTCAGACGAGAGACTCAATCTCTTTAACTGAAAAGCTGTAGCTGAGGACACTTGATTTGTTAGTTTCTTTGCTGTAGTAATATATACAACCTGATGCCAGATAAAGTATTGACTCCTTTGCTTTCTTGTACTCAACATTTTGCCACAAGTTTATTTTGCACCATTCTAGCCGTAAAAATCTCTAGATAGTATTAAATGGTTATTCAAATGTTGTAGGTTGAACAACGTGCACTTTAACCACGTTGTTTGCAGTGCGCCTGTTCCTAGGCTGGAACACAATCTCTGAGATCAGCACCAACTCCAGTCTCCCGACGTCACTCCGAACAATCCTCACCAACCATCAACAAAGAGTAACACCGTTACCCAACACACTGCCAAATTTTTCAGACCATTCTCTGGCACAAGGACCATCATGGTCAATCTCCCCGCAACTTCCTTGCCGCGAACAACCCTCCAGGCCCATTCCCACCTCCGCAATCTGGCATGAACACCCGCAACGGCTACCCCAACCCCGGCGGCCCGAGCCCGAACATCGGTTCCTCCGATCGTGACTATGGAAGCTCGAGAAAGCTCGAGAATCCGGCGATTAACCCGCTTGTGACGAATAATGGTTATGGTGCTGCAGCTCCTCGAGACCGCGACCGCAGGGCCGGCGGGTATGGGGGGTTTTATGAGCAGCAGTCGCAGTCGCAGTCTGAGGAGCTGGAGAGGGAGCGTCGGGCCCGGTCGGCATCGCGCGCGCGCGTGAGGGATGATGTGCGGTATGGAGGAGGGCAGGGTGGTCGATACGGTGATGACCCCGGGCGGTATGGGAGTACGAGGGGCGGAGGAGATTCGGGAGAGACTCAGCAGATCGATGGTTCGTGAGGAGCTGTTTACCGCAGTATTTTTCTATTGTGCGCTCTATATATGGGTGGCATGGCTGGTTGAAAGATCGTTTGGCTAACTGGAAGCTGCTTGTTCGTGTTAGATATTGTCCGCCTTATCCAGCGGGACTGGAACGCCATGGCGAGCGACGATTGCGTCCCAGTACAGGTTGGCCTTCAATTGATGGACCCGAGCACCCTCGGTCAAGCGGAGAGAGAGCCAGAGTTTATACGGTCGCATAGAGACATCAAGAGAGCTCTGAAAGCTATTGTGAACGGTGGGTTGCATTCTGCTACTCTTGAAAAGCATTTTCTAACACTTACTAGAGCATCACCAGGGCTTTAGTAGTGCAATCGGGACATATCATAAGATTCAATCGGGTATCCAGAGCTCACAAAACCAGCTACGATCGTTAAAATCTACCTTGGGAGAGGCTAAATCGGGTTTGCTCACGACAAAACCGGAGCTACAGGGTCTGGCCACTGGGTCACAGAGCTACAATGATGCTCTACAAATGTTGAGTCAAATAGAACACATTCAATCCCTTCCGGAAACTCTCGAGGCGCGAATATCAGAGAAAAGGTTTATCGCTGCAGTAGAGGTTCTACAAGAAGCCCGCAAAGCCTTAAGCCGTTCAGACTTCGAGGCGGTTGGTGGGCTTGGGGATCTACGAACATATTTTGCCAATCAAGAAACATCTCTGACGGATATACTCGTTGAGGAATTACATGACCACCTCTATCTGAAATCGCCGTATTGCCAGGATCGCTGGAAAATGCAGCTGGAAGATGGAGCAAGTGGCTCTAGTACGCCCCGTGGAATTCCTGCCTGGGACAAGCCGATACACAGGTTTCTTTCGAATCTCAATCTGTCTACACCCCTAGCTGATGATGCCTCCAACAACCCGGAGGCCGATACCTTCTCGTATATCCTTTTAATCATTGAAACTCTTGATAGGATGGGAAATATGGAAACCGTGGTAGATCGCATCGAGCAGCGGCTACCGGTGGAATTATACGCCGTCGTAAACAAGACAAGCGCAGAGGTTGCGCTCCGCTACCCGGATGCTACACGAGGAATACAAAAGCGCACTTGGGCTCCTGATCGGCCTTTGGATACAGTTGAAGAGCATGGTCATGTCCTCTCTGAGTTTCTGTGGAATTTGTACGCAAAATTCGAGGCGATTGCGGAAGGGCACCGTGTAGTTCATGATGTCATCAGCGGAATCGCTGAGAGGAAAGGCGCTGAAAAAGGGACGTTAACAAATGGCTTCAAGGAGCTATGGAAACTATATCAGAGTGAGGTGCGGAAAATTGTGACCTTCCGGTAGAGGTTAGGTGCTAATTCTCTGCGCAGATGCGCTCTTTGCTACATGACTACCTTGCAACGGACGGAGCTTCGACATTCAGAACTGCTCCCAGCGCTGTTGATTCTCAGTTTTCCTCGACCCAAAGAGACAAGTCCAAGGCAAGTCAATATCAATACGTTTTTTCTATCGTAAAACTGACTAGATTTTAGAAATTGTTCAAGCTATCTGAAATCGACCAAAATTCAACCGACATCAAAACGGAACAAGCTGCTTTGGATGAAATCTTGCGGTCATCGGTTCCGGGTCTTGTGTCTAAATCGCGGCAAAAGCTTTCCTCAAACGACTTGAACCGGTCCAACCAGGAAAGCTCAGGGACAGGCCATAAGTTACTTATCGAGCCTAACATTTTTAATATCAGTCTCCTTTTACCTCCAGCACTTTCATTCATCCAAAGGCTCACAGGCATCGTTCCGGTTGATTCGGACATTGATGTTGGGAAGTTGACCACGTTCTTGGATGACTTCATGACCCATGTTTTCCAGCCACAGCTTGAAGAAGCCGTGACGGAACTGTGTACTATGTGCTTCATTGCGGTAGACGCTTACACGCAAGATTCGCAATGGCACTTGCACTCGACGAAACCGATTTTCAAAGTATGATATCTCACAATATTCGCCTCCCATTAGTATTCACTGACAGTCATAGGGCACAATCACCTTTATGAATCTTATCAAAAAGTTTAGTCTGATTTTGGACAGTATTCCCCATGATCAAGCATTTACCCAACTACTGATTACGCAAATGGTCACATACTATGAGAAATGCTGTGGTTGGTATAAAGGTAAAGCCTCCTTTGCTACTCTTCCATTTACCAAACGAGCCGTTAATGAGTGTACCGCAGCGCTTATAAGTCGAATGTCTTCTCAACAACCCGGCGGTGTTCGACTAAAAGCAGCCGCTGCTTATTCTGAGCTTGAAGAAACCCGCGATATAGCAACCCAGCTTTGGGAGAGCCCGGTGAATGAGCGACAAGAGCTGATCAACAAGGTAATACTAGATTTATTTAACAGATTTAATTCCCTAGGCTGACCTAGCTAGGAAATCGACATGTTGATCAATCGGACCAACGAGACGCCGCTAGAACCGTACGATATCGTTTCTGATCCAAAGACGGTCTTCTCGGTTTCATTGCTCTATAATAGCATGGTAAGCCCATCCACTATTTTCTCCCTGTCTGAGAAAGTCTAACAGTGCCCCATTTAGAACTGGCTTGTAAGCAGCCTATCGAAGCTGCGACACATCACGCCCTATAAAGTCGACTCGTCTCGAGGGCACTCCAGGCAGTTGTCGGGCGGACGCAGGTGGACTTTTTCAAAATCGAATCTTGAATTCACTAACGCGCTCCCCCGTTTGCCTATGACTGAAGAGTCAGTTGTTGGATTCGACACCACCCTCGAATCGATAAGAAGCCTTGCCCTTACGGCACTATTAACTTTGCATCTGGACATCCGTTGTGGAGCAATCCACATGGTCACTCGCAGTCTCAAAGGCAGCATCAGCTCCCAGCTGACTGAAGCCACACCGCCCAGTCCCGCACCTTCAACGGAAAATATCTGGGCCCACATCCTCTCCTCGCAGCCGACATCCGCATCACCAGCCATCCTTGAACTCAACAATGACCTCATCGCCTTTGATGCCAGTGTATCTACCTACCTGGGACCCAAAGAACACTACTTTATCACTTCTGGTTTGACAAAACTAATCGACCGCGCGTTCGTCTCTGGAACCAAGTTCATCGGAGCAATGAATAGCAACGGCGCACTTAAGCTCCAACTCGACGTCCTCGTTTTACAGCAAAACCTAAAGAACATAGTCCTCCCTCGCTCGCCCCATCATTCTACAAACCAGCCTACCCCAAATCTCCCGAAGGCAAAACTCCATCGAACCACCACCAATCCCAAGAGATCGTTGCTCTTCCCCGCAGCGCCAAATTCCTCGACTGGTTCCTCGAAGGCGCCGATAAAGCCGTCCAGTACGCCAAAGAGGAAAAGGAAGCTTTCAAACGCGGGGACGTCCAGACCATCGAAGCCGGGAACGGTGAACCGTTTACATATGACGAGCTGAAGGTGCTGGTTGAACTATGTTTTTCTGCGGTACTAAAGGGTCCGAGAGGCGCAGAGAGCCGTGAAGACTTTTTAGCTGCAAAGAGAGGGAGTGGAGATGCGCTGTTGAGGTTGAGTGAGGTTATGTGGGATTCCTAATGGAAAGGCGGTTTTTCTTTTTGTTCTTTCGCAGCAACCCCTTGTTGTCTTCTTGTTCCGTTCTCACTATGTTCTTGATACTCGATAACTTCTGATATATCCGGCCTTTTCTTTTTCATATGCCTATGTTTTCCACTCAGCCGTAAGTCTTTTATCCATCTCTAAGTCTTCAGTCCAGATATCAACTCCTGTCAAAAACAACCAAGTTTGGATTAGTGAGGCCCGCACCTTGTAACGCCGAGCAGACCGAATCCAACAACCCAGACTATCCAGTTTTTCGATGTTTTTGCCTGATCACTTTACCTTTAGTGTAGCTGTTGTGCGCCTTCGAAACCTCAGCCTACTAAAGCTCTTTTGCCTTGCTACATATGAGAGTGTTATTCGGCATGAAATCTCGCTTCAATCCTCAGACTAGTCTTTCAACTTGTAGAAAAACGTAATATCGGCATTCACATACTACTTGATGTTTGCCCGTTTGTTTTAATTGGAAAGTAATACACAAATAACAGAGAAAAGTGAAAAACAATGTAGGACATATCTGACCCCTCCCCAACCGTTTGTCCATCGAAAACAGATTTCAGGCCTTGACTTCGCCGTAGAGAAATGAGATAGTGTGAGCGCCCAGTATCCTCCATCACCGTGTAACGCCGCCTCGAAGAAGATTAACCGGAAAAATTGGTATGCCACCGGAAATGACAAGGCATCATGTTTCGTAAGGTCATCCACGTTTCATCCGTTTGCAAAGCGCAAATGGGGAGGCGGTGGGTGGCGATTTAAGCATCATATGTAAGCTCATCACCTGGTAATAACATGAGAGTTAAAAGATACAAGAAGTAGAAAAGCAAGGAGTAAAAAACCACAATTTTCATGCGAAGCTCAGGAGAAGTGGCCGGAAACGAGATCTAAATCTGGACGTCATCGATTTCGAGTTGCGAAAGGTCCTTGTCATCATCGTAATCGGGAAAGTCGAGACCAGCGTCACGGGATCTCTGGAGCCATTTCATGGCGAGAACACCGCGGCGGTTCACCTCTGCCTTCAATTTTGCATTCTGAGCGCTGATTTCAGTGATGGCTTGGGTGGTAGTCATCTGGGTTGTGTCCCAACGGTCGATCATATTCTTGTTGTCCTCTTGCAACTTAGCAATGTATTGCACTGCTCGGGACAAGATTGAGCCCTTAGCCTTTTCGCATCCAGGGACCAATTTCGCGAGCTCGTTGATTCCTTCGTTGATGGTCTCACGACGGCGGCGCTCGACTAGAACTGTGTAAGAGACAAAGCACGAACCATTATGAGTTAGTGGAACACTCACCTTCCTTGTGATTGTTTTTGCGTTGAGTGTGCCATTCAGGAGAACCAACTGGCGGCTTGGAATGGCCAATGCTTTGAGCTTCACGGGCCGCGTAAACGGCAGCAGCGGTCGAGTTGTGTCCGTGGACACCTTGCATCGAAACCTGAGCAACGTCTTCACCGAAAGCAGACATATTGTGGCCCAAGGCGTTATTGTCGAAGGCAGATTCTGGTGCCGGATACTTAGATTGGGGATGGGCAGCAAGAGCCGCTTTCGCGGTCATCGTGGTGTCATCAGAAACCCCATTCTGGCCTCCGACATGTTGAAGAAGCTGCTGGTCAATGTGGCTCAATTCGGTGGGATTGTTCAAGCCATGGGTATCGTATCCTATGTAAATCCATTTAGCGGAGGGATCCGAGTGATAGAAAGTAGGGTCGTATGCAGTCTGGGAGTGCGCACCATGGATGTTGCCGTTGTTCGCGTGCATGTTGCCGTTAGTATTCGCCATAGGAGGGGAACGAGCCAACCGCTGGCTGTCGCCGACATCGAGAGAATCGCGTTTGCGCTTGCCGTCAGCGCCAGGCATCGAGGAACCGATGTTATCCGACATGGCTGCTATTTAGGTCAGCCACAAAGCTGCCTCTAAGAAGAGACGTGATGGAATGAATTATGCAAGCCGTTCAGCAAAGAATAAAAATTCAGCAGTAACGGAGTGATAGGAACCTTGAATGGCGGGACCAGGGAATCTGATCGGTTGAAACGAGGGCGATTCTGCAAGGGGTTCCTACCAATCTTCGAACTGAGAGATTGTCACTAAATCAAGCAGCACTGGCGAGAGTCTGCGAGGTCAGATATCTTAGACGAGCCTTTCACAAAAGAAGCGATCGAGTTGATGCAAACAGCCAGCCAAGTCGAGTGCAAGGTCAAGGGTGCAGAGGGGTAGAGATTCAGCGAAACAATGGGGAGGTTACCTGATGAACTGGGAGGTCTGATTACAACGAAATAGCAATGTGCATCAAAGAAGCAGTCAGAAGAGGAGCTTTATTGCTTGATAGGACCACCGCGGGGCCGAGAAACTCGATAGAAGTGAGCTGGGTGACGCGCCCGTCATGATGAGACTTCTCAACGTGGCGAGGCGATTCGTCACAGCAGACATTCCAGAGCAAGGGAGCATAACGAGCAGGAAACCAGACAAGATCGCGTTGCAGAAGAGGCTGAGGAGATGCAAACAGATGGCCGATGGGAGCTGTGATGGAGCGCAACGTACCTTTTGACGATATATCAGGTGACGAGAAGTCACCTGCTCGCGGGCGTGAAGGTGGATGTCAGTGGATATAGATCCGAGTCAATTGGAACAAGGACGCAGAAGAAGCGAAAACGGGAGCTCAACAGATGGAAGACGTCGCGGGGAAGCCAGCGAAACAGATCTGAGCAGCAGCGGTGCTTTTTGAGCAGGACGACGGAGGATCAAAGTGACCACAAGCTCGAGGGCGCGGAGTTGAACGAGCGAGCGACTCACGTGGCCCCCAGGTGATTTCGAGGTCCACGGCTGTGCGGCCGGCGACAGCTGCCAGGTGTGCAGCCCCGATCGGGCCTAGTGTGTTTGCTGGGTTTGCCTGCCATCTCATTGCTGTTGCTCTGTATCCAACACAACAGCAGCGAGCTGCCTCTGCCTTCCACGGCGCCGGAATCGCGGTTGTATTTGCTGCCCATTGCAGACGATTGTGAGTACGGCTTCGAGCATCTCTCTCTGCTCGACAGCCTCCCCAACAGCCCACAACACCACCTCTCCACACCCACCCTCCATCATCCAGGGCCGACTCTCCCCTTCATCCAAACCTGGTCATGTGCCTGGGTCCCGTGGCCTCACAAGCCCTCATCGTCTGCGCTTGGCGAGGATGACAAACCAACCCTTGTCCCTTGCCTGTGAATCACGATTGGCGAGCGGTCTGCGGGTCATGCGCTTCCCTGAGACGGGCTCGGGCCTCGATGGCCCGTCCGGCCATGACGGAACAAGAGAGCACCTGTTGTCACCGCAATCCTGGAGACGGGAACGCAAAGGGGTGGGAAATTCCATTGTGAAGCCCAGACTGATTGCACTGGGCACTTGTGCTTTTCCTTGGACCGCCATTAATGGGCTAGTCACTAGCCCGAAGGAGATGGTCAGCGTGTATCTCTGACCATGGGATATTTCTGCTCAACTTGTGTGATGATCGTAGCCGACAACCGGGAAGGGATATCCGCTATATATACGCCGTTGCTGCATGGAGCAACCCGCAATGCTTGCAGACGGTTTTCCATCATCCTAGGAGATAGAGATGAAGCTCCTTTGCCGCACGGATTATGCAACTGAAACCGCAAATAGCCATGTCTTTGGGCAACGTAACCAGACTCGTGCCGTTGGAAACTCCCCATTTATCGTCGTGATTCGTCTCTGGCCACGCAATCAGCTTTTAAAGTCTGAACTAGATGCGTCCGCATCCTTTCGTACACATTTGCCCGTTGCCAATTTCTTTTTGGAAGCTAACCCTACAGGCAGATATAAAACCTGGAGTGCAAATCAGGGGTATCAAGTCCGAGTCAGCCATCACTGATCACCTTTCCTCTAAGTGACCTCGCCTTGGATTGTTAGCAAACTTCTAGTCACGGTTTTTAAGCAAATCTAATGACAGCAGAGACTATGGGCAAGATTCATAAACTTGAATGGTCCAGGACATACCTCAGGGCCACGCTAAACCCGCATCGCTATAACTCTCGCCAAGTCCATGCGCGAATTCTCTCCTAGACATTGGCGCGCTGAAACTATTCTTCCTTTCATGGAACAGCAGCACTGATTCCTAAGCGGTCAGTCTGGAGGCCAAACATACCCTTCTTGAACCCATTGCTTGAAGGCATTGAGGTTGCATATGCCATCATCAGATAGATATGCCGACAGTGCACCAACCACGAGTCACTTTCCTTGGAACTAGCAATGTTCGCCATGCAGATGGTGAAGGGTGAGGTTGTGGGAAAGGAATGCAGAAGCAATGCAAAGAAAGAAGCAGCCAGTTTGTTATTTTGTTAGCTGGCGGGTGCCATCTCGGCGTGGGTCACATGGGATCATGGGATCAGGACGCCCGGTTGGGAAATTCCAGGGCGCAAGGCTCTCTAGCCCTAAGTGGAAGGATGAGGAGATCCTGCATCAACTGGTTGATGTGCTGATGTGCCTGGTTGAACTGGTTTATGCTACTGTCATGGTGCTGGATGGGGGCAGTTAGCCGTTCTACGTGGGAGGATGATAGCCATGATTCACACAATTCTGAACAACGATGCATGCTGTTACACTCATGGGTTATTACACGGTATATTCCTATGTGTGCATGAGATGTAGATCCTCCCAGAAAATCTCTTCCAGGCTTCATGCTGGCTAGTGCACATCATTCTCCTGAACCTCGAAAGACCTTGAGGCGCATCTTAGGGGGTAGATCCGTATCGACCAAACAAACATCCTCTTCGGCCCTCCCAAGCCGTTCCCAGAGCACTATATCTGCATCATAATACCCATGCCGCTCTTCCTCACCCCCAGCACCATTCCCCTCCGCTGCGGCTCTCCGAATGCCAATCACACAGCTGGACCCCGCATACCTCGCTGTGTCCTTTCCCTCATTACCCGCCTCCCTGCCCGTCCGGTTCGCAAACACAACAATAATCTCCCCTCCATCCCAAGTGTCTCTCGTAATCAGTGGCCAAAACCGCTTGATCCAGTACCGGAACGTATCCATGTCTGGTGTGTTTGGTTCACCGGCTAACTCTTCAGGGTCCAGTAGCGAGAGCCATGCCATGGAGAGGATTACTAGCTTAGCTCCGCTGTCAAGGACGTGAGTGGCAAACTCGTATGCACTGTACGGCGCGATGAATTTGTAGGGGTTGATGTCCATGCATATCCCGACCGTGGTGGGTATGTGCTTTCCCACAGAAAATTCACAGGGCCTTGAGTTGCTTGACGGCTCTTTAGCAAAAACGGGGAGCTGTAGATCCCCTTTTCCATTCTCTCCCTCCAGCGCCCAGGGTTCATCCGTGTAGTAAAGAAACCGTTTTTGATAATTGAGCAGTATGTCGCCAGATGGGTCCACGATGAGTAGAGAGTTGAACCGTTTCCGTGCTTCAATTTGCCCGTCTTCGTTTTCTGCTTTCTCCAGTGAACTCGTTTGCTCCAAGGGCGACAATGCTGAAGCATGGAGCTCCGGGTATCCTACGCAAACCACGCACCCGAGCCGGCGTGCGGTCGAGCGAGCCCAATTTGCTGATGGCCCGGAGCCGGTAGGCTCAAGATATGGTTTGATATGCTCTAGAGAAGAGAAGTTGTATCCTACATAAATTCGTGAACATCCAGAAATATTTCCTGAACACACATAAAGTTGCCAACAGGCTTACCAGTAAACGCCAGCTCCGGCAAAACCAGGAGATCTAGCTCTCGCATTTTGTTTCCATGGACTTGTTCGGCATGTTTCAATATCATCCCCGCTCGTTTGATATTCCCCTCGACGTCCCCTAAGCGAGGGGAGTACTGTAGCGTGGCGATTTTCATTTTGCACTGGACTTCTGACTGGCTCCCCAAGGAGAAGAAAAGAAAGAGAGAAAACTAAAGCTTACAGAGTCACCTTGAGAAATATCAGGGTGATCAATGTAAACTCCTAACAAAGTGTGTGAGCAGTGCTGCCCAGCTAGTTAGTGATGCCTGACGATTCAACGAAAGCCACGCTTATTAGGCTAAGAAATGGCCACACGGCCACAGCCCGATTATTATGTTAGCTAGTTACTCAAAGTTGAGGAAGGAAATCTTATATTATATCTCGAGAACCAGTTGACTCTATATCGATAGTCACTTATTCATGGCATAGCATTTTGACGGATCTTAATGGATCCCACACGTCTAACACACAATGAGCGCTAGCTTAAGTTTGAAAAGAAGTATGTATTGATTCCATGCCATAAGATAGCCTGAGCAGCCTGCGCCTTGCTACCAAAGTATTGCCTAAATGCTTGTCAAATAGAGACACCCGCCAATCACCAAATAATACATCCCAATCCCTGCACTCAAACTGCCGTGTTCCAAACTCCATTTCCACAGATATAAACATTATGGCATCGTTGTAAATGACTAGGACCTGGTCTTCCGTTTCGAAGAGATCGATTTTCCTTTCTCGTCTGGGGTGTTCAAAATATTCGCAATCGGCTTATACGCAAGGCCTTTTGCACCGGTTTGCCGAATTCTCTGTTCTGTCCTGGAAAGCGTTCTCCCTAGTCCAAGCGGAGTTTCCGGAGCCAAAGCAACCTTGTAGCCGTTCACGGTGGCATGTAGCCTGTCGGAACCGGTACTACGACTGAAATTGTTCACGCGTTCGAGAACAGATGACGAAAATGACGACGGTGTTGATGGCCGAGATACCGATTCTCGAAACTGAGGGACACTGTCAAAGAGCCCAATCCGAGAAAGCTCCCTACCAGCCATACGCGCCGCACTAAAGAGTAATTCATCTTCGTCAATGAGGGATTTCTGTTGTGGGCACGGTTTTGGGGGTGCCGCCTTTTGTTTCGACAGTTCGAGCGCTAATAGTTCATCGACGGTCAGCGTTTGGCGCGGATTCAATCTTGCTATCTTCGATTTTCCTCTAGATTCCTCCTCGTTGGCCTCGCTAAGCGCCTTGCGCTTCGCTATTTCTTTCTCGATGGCTGACTTTCTAGCCGCTTCTTTTTCGGCGGTTTTTTGCTCATTGGCTTTCATTCTCTCTATCTCCCTTCGTGCCGCTCTCAATTCTTCTTCCTGCTCTTTCATCGCTTTCAGTCGTTGCGCTGTCTCCCGTTCTGCAGCTTCTTTTTTCTCTTTTTCTTTTTGTGCAGCCTGTAGCCTTTTGAATTCTCGCTTGGCCGCCTCCTTTTTAGCTGCCTCCTCTTGTGCCCTGTTCTCACTTTCCTCCCGAGCTTGTTGCTCCTTGAGAGCTTGTTGTTTTATATCTTCTGCATGGTTTTGATCGTCAATAGGTTGATTCAGGCTTTGCAACGTAGGTAGTTGCGTGGTCTGGTCCAGAACCGCTGGGTTCTTCTCTTGACCTGTTGGTGCACTAAATGATGAGGTTCCGGGTAATGTAGGTTCCGGTGCTACAACAGGTGTGTTAGTATAGATAGACCTGAAACGGAAGGAAAGAGGAAAACAGAACAGAAATAGGGAATATAAGAGGATCAATACCTTCGCTTTCCACGGATTTCGAGGCTTGAAAACCAGTGAATAGAGTTCCCGCAGCAGATGATTTGGTTGGAAGAGTCGAAAAAACTGCGGAGGATGGGACTTCGGGTGTTTTCTTTAATTCTGGGGCCTTTGAGAATTGCGGTGAAGCGAAGGTCGGGTTCGCCTGTGTTGCCGCGTCATTTTGAAAGTGACCTTTGGAGAACGGTCGTGGGTTATTTTCGAATACGGTTGATTTACCTTTGATAATGTTAGCCTGACTCATATTGAGAATCATTTTGTGATGGTATCCAGCTTGATATTTACCCGATTGATTTGACTGATACCCAAATGTCGCTGCCGAGAAAGAAGGAAAAGGCGGTTTTGATGGCCGGCTGGCATTTCCAACTACTTTTTTTGTTAGAAGATTTTCTACCATGATAGCAGTGAGAGGCACTAACAGTTCGATGTACCAGTTGTATCGACCATAAAAGGATGATTCGATGCATCCTGGGAAAGGGTAACGGATGGCCGTTGTGCATCTTGTATAATACTTGCATCCTTTATGGCTTCGGTTTGTGTGGCTATTCCCGATGCCAAACTGCCTGGAAACGGCGCGGAAAAGGGATTCTTCCAGTTCACTCCCGCGCCAAGGGCTTGCGAAGCGCTAGGTTTCCCAAAACTGATCGTTTCAGGGGCAGAGGGGGCTCCAAATGTTTGGATGGAAGTTGATGTAGGCTGAGAAATACGGGGCCCACTCTTCATGCCAGCAGCGCTCGAAGGAATGCCAAAATTAGAGCCGAAGGCCCCAAAGGATGGGGGTCCTATTGAAGCGGCAAATGACGGTGCAGATGGTAGCGGTTGGGACTAGTAAGATGGTGGTTAGAATTCAACAAAAAAGCGCTGAGCTGCCGTATTATTGGCGGCTTCAAGAGGGAGAAAACAGGGGAAGGATAAGCGTTCGGATACATACATTCGTGAGGTTTGAGAATCCCTGAGGGACAAATTCGGGAGCGCTAGCTGAGAATGGCTGTGAAGGTGGCGAAGACGGAGGGAGCGGGCCTCCTAGATGCTTGAGGAAAGGGTTCGTTGTGATTTGAACGTTTTCGAGAGGGCGAGAAAATATGGATGCAGATGTTGACGGCATTTCTTTTTCGATACCGGCCCCAGCCATTGGGGCTTGTCCGTTTTGTATTCCTGCTTCATTTTCATCATCACTTACAAAAAGACTCTCCTGCTCGTTGGTAGCCTTATTGGAGAGCGCTGCGAATCCTGATTCTGGGCGAAGAAGCGATTTATCTATCATTCCATGCCTGAGGGCTTGCGAAACAGTCATTCCAAGAATAATTGCTGGTAGAGTTCTTCCATAGCGTTTTGTCTCAACCAAGTACTCCGAAAATATTTGCTCAGAGGACGGTTGAAAAGCTATCATGAGGTCAACATTAGAGTCAAGTTTATCCAATGTAGAGTAGAGGGTTGTTTTCCGATGCGATGCTTTCTGGGGCTACCCACCGATATAGTCTATGGAACGATTGCCCCAATCTAGATAGAGTTGTCCTTCCGCACCGGATGATAGTTCCAGGCTCTGATCCTCGCAAAATTTGATTGTTTGGTCTTCGTTATCGAACCATAGCACCTCCGTGAGCTTGTCAACTGTCCATTCCTGATTTTTGTGTTGTTGCGAGAGCGGTTGGCGGCAATAACCTTTCCATATTGAACGGATTGCAGTCTGTCGGACTTGGTTGAAATAAATTTCGGCAATGCATGCCATAAGGTAGGAAACGCTTTTCGAGCGCACAAGGCTAAAGAATCTTGAATAGAATCCCTGAGCAATCGCATTTGGTCTCCTCGCATCAAGTGTACCTTGATATTCCCATGTATTCCCCGCAGCAGCGAAGAGCTCCAATGCTACTTGTATGCGAGGAGACCGACGTAGTTCACGAGGCCACTTTTGGACACGTGCTTCTAAATCGGGACGTTGATCATGGATGGAAAATAGAATGTAGTAAGCACGGAATTCATCCTCGTTTGGGAAATTTACACGGCCCCGGTTGTCATCATAGTAGTACAACAAGGACAACAGTGTATTGTTGAGCTGTTCACGTTCTTGATGGTGATCAAACTGTTCCGTATTTGCCGGGTTCGATAGCAAATGAAGAGCTAAGATATGGAAGCGAGCTATTCGTTCGAGGCATTTGACTGCAATTTCGACGTCTTGTTGCTGCGTGAGTTGCTGAATCGACAGATCGTTACGGATCGACCGAGTTCGATCCCAGACAAATTTATGAATACTTCCAAGGCCATCGTCGTCCGTAATCACGTATCGAAGCATATAATTCAACGTTTGCAACAAAGTGTTTGGCGTTCTAATATCGGAGGGCAACTGTTCGTCATAGCCGGCCGCAGATCTTCTAAACCTTTTAATCATTTTGGTTTCCATAACTTCCAATTCTCCGGTATCGGGATTCATCGACTAGAGATATATGATTAAAATGCGTTGCAACCACGGAATCCACCAGCACCAACCTTCTCGCTTTTATCGACCATTTTCTGAACAATCCGCTCTACCCGTTCGTATTGGGGACACATGTCTGTACAGGTACCAGTAGGGGTAATGGCCCGGTTGAGAGATGTTGGCTGATTTGGATCCGCCATGAGGCCTTCGTCAATAGCTTTAGCACGTTGTTTGGTACGTTCGCGTTTTAACTGTAATTGGCACAGTCAGTTTCTGGAATAAAAACGTTCAATCAGCAGCATCCAGATCCTCAGCGGGCTAGGGGGATACCTGTTCGAAACGACTTATATAGTCCTGAGTCTTGTTATTTGCTTGCCATTGTGAACTCGCAGCAACCTCATTTTTGCGTCGTGGATCCCTTGCTCGGTCAATAACGGATGTATTAGTAGTCGGAGCATGTCCAAGGATGGACGATGACTGCGCCTTCCTGGGTCCTGCACCAGTGGTTGGTTGGAAATTATTTTCAGAAAGCGAACGGTTAAGAGATGTTTTGTGTTGCCATACCTAAGGCGAATGAGTTAGTGGCTGGATTTCACATACTTACATGGACGATAGTGAGAAAATAATACCTCTAGAAAAGGAGCCCGATGACCTGACACCCCCAGCCCTGATGGCACCAGACCCTCGTCCCGTTCGGGGATAGGGAGCTATGTCGCCCCCCCTCCCCCGGCCGGCTTTTGTGCCGAAGGGATTCTCCTGGGCTTCGCGAACAATTGAATTTTGTTGGGAGTTGCCTTTTCTGGACGAAGGGCGACTGCCGCGGAATATTCTGCCCCTGGCCAACGGCGCACCGGTCCCACGTTTCGGGCCCGGGGCGAAGGATGACATTTTGAGCTCGTTCGTGTGCGAAATACCTTATCCACTATTCTAACCGCTGTGCAAGGCGACGAGAAATTGTGCGCTAGTGGGGAGGAATCTTTCACTTGCAAGGTGCGGTATCGCCCGGGTTGAGTTGACGTTTGATGGAATGGCAACGATTACCGCTATTCGGCGGATGGCATCGTCAGTCGCCGTGGAGGTCATCGCCTGGCGGAATCGATCACCATACCTTTCGTCCCCCTAGCGAAATGTCCTATCGATAAGCCCGAATCAGTCATGCTTTATTCCAATGTGAGTAGAGCCTTTTCCGCATAGCGAAATACAGGAGAAAAATTTTCGGGGAACATAAACAGACCTGAGAATAAAGAAATATAGTATCTGTCACCACATTATTATCCTCGCGTAAAACATGTAGCTAGGTCCCAAGCAACTGGATGACGGCGAGAACGTGAATCAGCGGGAGGTGGCGGAGTCGCAGGAAGCACTGCAAAAGCGAGGATATGGGAAGTTCAGAGTAATTCAAAGCAAAATCACAGGTCCAGCCTGCTGAATATCAATAATTCCGTTAAGATCGTGGCTCTTTTTTCAACCTGGAAACCAGAGGGCGATGGCAGCGATGTGCTGAGAGCGTCGATGTCAAGCTTAGGAAATACGCGCTTGCGCTTAGCTACCTAACTAGGTGCTTGGGCGCCAAGCCCGCCCGGCCTCATTCGCCTATAGCCGCGATGTCGCTTACATAACTAGCTAACGAAGGTCAAGTGTCGACGACATTGTTTTGATGCCAACAGAAGACACAGCCTTGGTACTCCATATCCGTTATCATTATTTCCTAATGCTAGCCGAAAAGTACGACAACACAGTCTTCCACTGGTATTTACAATAGAGTATGGAAATATGCCTCTAGATTGGAGAACGACAGCCTGTCGCGATGGTGTCAGGTAGTCTGAGTAAACGCTGGAGATGACAATCACTATTTCAGGCCTAGGTTGAGGACAATAAAGATGTTGGGAATTACACTGCTCCATATGGGAGAAAACGAAGGGATAACAGGGGGTGGGTGATTTAATGATGTCTTGACACGGGCAGTCCAATAGGGAATATCAAGGCATGGAAAAACAAAAATGAATAAATAATAAGAAAAGCGTCTTACCGTCAGGCAGATTCGAACTCCCGACCCCAAAACCCACTCCCAGCCGCCATATCATGAATTGATATATAAAAAAATGGAGCCGAGGACAGCGACCGAAGTGGCTGCCCTCTCATCATGAGGTTGTGATGAGGCTCGTCCTTCCGTGAAGGACTACTGCTCAAACCTAATCATGGAATGGTAAGGCGGCGAGGCTAACCTAGAAGGGGCTTCGCACCTTGGAGACACTGAACGAGCGGTCGTACCGCTACGCCATCATGGCTCGCCTTAGCAATAATGCAAGGTTTCAACCCTCATAAGTTCATTTTGCAAAATATTCAGCCACCTAAAAATAGCATGGCCGCAAACAAATTCCCCCAGGCCACTAAGCAGAGTCTAGAGACCCGAAGATACCCTCAATTCCCTAAGAATATAAGGGCTGGAGGGTCGACATCGACGCGCCCTGCACATTCAAAACGATAAAAAGGATACAGTAATACTCCTACAGCAATCTAGGAAAGAGCCTGGGTAATTTTTGATATTGGAATGGTATTAATATTCCAATCAGAACCTCAGCCAAATTTAATTATGTTGTCGATTGCTCGAGGCATCTGCTTTTGGTCGTCCGCAGCCGTCCGCCAGATATCTCGACTCGGACCTTCCACAATTCCTGTGCGAAAGGGCGGACCTGATGGAAGCTGCTGTTTAGGCATTAACGCCGTACCGGTATATAGTTAGGGAAACAGGTTGGCAACTGATTTGTCGTCGAAGCTGTTGACACTGACGGAGGAATGCTGAGTCATCCAGCTGGACGTCTTCGGAGAATCAATCAGCCGATTACCCAACTAGGTAACTATTACATACATGGAACTTCATGACTTCCTCTTGTCAAGTGGAGGGGAATTTGCAACATCTTGAATCTCTTCATTGCTTGATTAAGGCTTCGAACAGTTTCTCAATATACTACACACTAGAGCTGAACCGCTGAGAATCGCAACTAAGCACCGGCGCTATTAAGGCCAACTTGATTAGCAGCAAACAACGGCTCAGAGAAGAGCACTAAACTGACTTTTAGCCAAAAGGCACTAAGATACTGCTCAAACATGCAGTTGCATGGTAAGCTCCCGTATGAGAGAATTATAGACTCGAAACTGAGAAAACAGATATGAATCCGAACTGTGTACAAAGAAGGAAACAAGAGGTCTGAGAAAAACAGCCAACAAAGTCAACAAAAAGGGGAAAACAGCCACCTGCTTCGAACCTATATTAACCACACCCAGGGTATTGTGTAAACGTGATGAATTTTCGATTGACGAATTCCTCCCAGTACAAAACTTTTCAAGAATTGGAAAACTCCGGCGCTCTATTTATATTGTGGAATGACTTCGTTCCCATGGTGTTGAACAAGCTGCGAATGATTTAAAGGAAATGCGGAAGCCGCCAATGGCATATAATCAAGTTGAGTTGGCATGCGCAACTGCATCTCTGAAGTTGTTACTGTCGGAGCCAATATTGGTGCCACTGTCTGGGCTTGCGGTTGCGAGATATTAAGTGACGCCGGTGCACTGTCATACACAGGATGAAACATGGATGGCTGGAACGACCAAGCGTCTGTGGTAACCGGCGTGCTAATTTGTTCCACAGGGGAGGGCAAGAAATCTGACACTGGTAGGTATTTCATTCCTGGTTTGTTGTCTTCCACCTTGGCATATGTGTTGGCGTCCTTGATCGAGGCATGGCCGGAATCGGATAGACAATCGGAATCAGGTTCGCCTTTGTTGCTGGGATCTCGGTTGATAACGTACATGACAGCGTCGGCATCTATGCTGTCAGCGTTTCACCTAGACATGCCGTTGACTAACATTGCTCACCAACTTCGCCGCGCTCATAGCTCTCCTCCATTCTTCTAACAGCATATATCTCCTCGAGGATATCCCACCGCTCGCGTGGCTTTAGCTGTCGTCTGACATCTCTCCCGGCTTCTTCAAGTTTCTCGGTTGTGATGTTATGTGATTTGCGGAGGTTTCTAATAATATGAACAAGAAGTTCAACGCGATCTAACAATTTCGTTAGTCTTCCATCCAATCCAATTCGATATTTTCAAGGAACATACCAGGCTTCTTCAGATGGTCTGGTTCTCTATGCTCTACTCCGGCAGGCCACCAATCGGGCTTGGTCTTCTCTGGATCGCCTTTCTCTCCCAATGGCCCTCGCCCACCATTGTATGGGTGTTTAACCTGCTTTCTAGGTTCAATCATTTTAATAAATGCCTTGGCGATTTGGCGACAATTGATCTGTTGAAACGCCCGCAGAGCCGATGCGTAGTAGTCAAGGACCTTATCCGTTTCTCCAATTCTAAGCGGAACTCGATCCACTGTCTCAAAACTGACATCAGGTGCGTCATCCAAGTGAAGCCGCCGTCGCTTTTGTGGTACTTCCATCCTTGGGGGCTGCGAATATGCACCTGTGGCCTCTATAAATCTCTCTTTAACATCCTGGGTGAAAATATAACGGCAACGTCCTTCAAGTGATTGCGAGGTCTGGAATTGAACACATCCTCTCCAGTCAATGGCTATCATGGCAAAGTGTGCGTACGGGGTGTGAGCCTGTCTGGAGCTCCTAGACATTACTGGCTGCAAGAAATGTTAGCCACAAACAATGCATGGAGCTTCAGGGCCCGCATACTGGAGGTGCAATCCAGGAGAGGTATCCGTCTGCAAGAGGATCCAAGTCTTTCTCAGAGGGATGTTTAAACCGCGAGTGACCCGACTCCTGCGCAAAAACAACCATGGTTGGATAAAAAAACCGAGCCAGGAAGAATAATAAAATAAATAACGAAGGCCACCCAAAAAAAATTAGAAAAACACAAACAAAGCTATCGATGAGAGGATCTCAAGTATATGGTGACGGGAAGCTCGAATCAAACCTTTGGTTCGAAGGAGCTGAAAGCACGTAAACAACTTGATCAGAAGCTATCATGGATTCTGAATGACGGAGGATGAAGTGTGTTTTGAGGTTTCAAAGGTCGCGACCACGGCGATACATATACTACCGATGAGTTATTGCAGACAAGACCGTCCGACTGGAAGCAAACCAGGGTCTCTTGCAGAGCGTTTGCCCGCCGTGCTACTTCGAGTAGTTAGGGAGTCGGTGGCCAGGGGACCGTGCGAGGACTAGGGCCGAGTCCAGTCAACGCCATAGCCCACCTGGGGGTCAGCGGTTAGTGACTCCGTCCTCTCCGTATAACCAGGAAAGGCCCCAGTGTATTTCGGAGGCACACAAAGAGATTAAAACTCACCAATAGGATACGGATGCAAAGCTGCACGTTCATCTCTTTGACGTTGGCCAAATCGATGGCATGAAGTAGGGGTCTAGTGGAACCGATGACAGATTCAAATCGAAGGAGGTGTACCGTCAGTCTGGATCAGAGATGCATCCTGCTCGCTTGGCTGCGACCCCAGTCGAGGCCAACACCCTGATTCGGAGAATCCTTGACCTCGATTTCCCAAATCGGACCGTGCGCTTGGCTGCTTTGAGGATTGCACTTCTCTCGAGTTATAGATGCAGGGCGAAATCCCAACGAGGGAGACAGGAAACGAGCCAACTTGGTGGGAGCTGCAGGGTTCTGATCGCGGCTTCTGGGGTGAGAGAGCCGCTTGGGAGCTCACTGGCCGCCTCTCCTGGGCGGTGGCGCACGCTAACTGCACGGTTCCAAACGAAACTGCCATGACCCCTGGACAGGCCCAATCACCATCGTGCTAAGGCCCGCATAAGCATCAGTTAATCATGCATGGACGGGACAAACTGTTCGGTGGGGAAGAAGACTGAAAGTCACGGCTCATCAGTGCGTTTTGGTTCGGCGCCTTGGAAACGAGATAGAGTGACGGGCCAACTTGCGCTTGAAACTTCCCAAACTGCGAGGAGTTTTCTGTCAAATTTCAAATCGGGTCAACCAGATTGTTGCCAGACTGGGAACAAGACGAGGACTTCTGCAAGTCCTTTTCGAAACTCGAAAGCTCAACCCGAACCCGGGCATTTCAATCTATGTACATCCCAGTGATCCGGAACTCAAAAATTGCTGTGAATTGAACCCTTTTGTTAAGGGTTATTGATTCTTGACAGGACCATGCTCCTTGTTGTTTTATTATGAGGGCGTATAATCCTCCCATTGGCCTGGGATTTTGAGACACTGAGAAAAAGGAATGCAAATGGCCAGCACAAAAGCGGCTCTAGACAGAGCTCTCAGACCCTCAAACCCTTTGCAGTGACAACCCATTGACTTCTTTCTTTTTTCCCAAAGCAACCCATGCACCTGCGTCAACCTGGACAAAAATGGAGCCGCCCGACAATAATTCAGCATGACGCGGCTAAAACACCACCTTTGCAGCACCTTCGTATTCATCTGGAGTGGGCGCTGGCTGGCTTGAAGATCCAGGTAATTTAGGTTAGCCACTGGAATGCCGTTCCCGAAACTCCCACCATTTGAGATCTTCGTCCGATCGCTCGAATGATTCCTCATGCTTTTGAGATCGCAGGTTACCCCAATTCTGTAACCTGATAAGACAAGCAAAGCGTTATGGCAATTGAAATTCGTCTTCCACATGCTCATCGGCGCGAGTTTGCCAGGATCGTTCTCGGTGTGTTGAGGATTTCTACTTCTACAGCAGACGTCATTGTCGCGGCCACGGATGGTATTAATAGAATTCTCCCACCGGACGATTCAATCTCAATAATTCTACCTTGGCAGAATTGGTTCATTTGTGAATCAATCTTCGTTTCTGCATGCTTCACGGCCATGCAGACTTGCCCTTGGGGAAAAGTGGATTTTCAATGATGTGGCGCCGGACAGCCAACCACCGGGAACCGATGGCAGGTGCATCCCCTCCTGATGCAGTGATGCCTGGTTGATTCACCTGTCGAAAAGGATTCCGGTCTCTTAAGGGCGTTGCTATGGCAAGGCGCCAAACACTCCAGAATCAACACTATTGACATTAAGATAACTAGCAAGGCGATCATTCATGCTTATCTCCCATAGCATGTCGAACTAGATGCCCATATTGCTAGGCGCCTTAGTTCATCTCACTGGCACATAGTTCCATCAGCAAGCCGACCTTGCTCTTGAATTCCAGTGTAATCGTCCTTTGTCCCGGCGCGGACCTGAAGTTCGAGCGACCGCGGGGCATCGCGCAAAGTTCTTCACAGCTAATCGGTTCGACGACCCTGTGTAATGTGTTGCAGCGCAACCCGCTGACATTCATCTTGAAAGGCAAGAGGAAGGATGGGGAGCGGTGCATGAGGTGGGAATTTGTTATCCGCCCGGTTCAGAGAGTTACTCCACGCATCGGACTTCAGGCGCAGACCATGCGTTGGACGCACAGACGAAGGATGAATACACCCAGTAATGAGTGACAGCGGGAGCAGAAGCTGCAGGTCGAAACCTGGTACTGATTCTCCCGGCCGAACCAATAATGGTGTGTGCTTCGACCAAGTCGCGATTTGCCTCCAGAAATTTCCAATCGGTCCTCAGGGCCCGGGATATCTCTCAGTGAAACTGGCGTCGCATAACTGAAACAGGTGTCCTTTTCAGGGGCGGACGTTGACTTGAACGGGGCCACTGGGGAATCCGTCTTGCGAGCCTACAAGGGGCGTCCTTTCACTGTGGCAAAAATACCTTGACTGGAGCTGAACCTCATCCATGCTCGACAACTCTGGGAAATGTCTTTTCCATTAAACTGAAATTTTTCATAATTCTCCTTCCTTCCTTGGGAAAAGGATTTTCAGCTAAGCTTTTGTATGGCCACGTCTAGGCCGATGTGTATCCCCTGCTGGCCTAGCATCCCTGACTCTTTCTTCCTCACTAAGCAAGAATTCTGTCTCGCGGGCTCCGGAGGCGTCGCTGAGATTCGATGGGGGCTCTGCACTCACTGCATGAATGATGAGGCCCGACCTCGAGAGTCGACTAGAATGCACCAGAAGCAGGGAGCGTGCCCTCACATGGCGACGGGCTTCAGCTCTCCATGTCCTTCCCTCCCATTTCATCACCAACTGCTTGAGAATACTCTTCTGCAAAGCAGTGTTTTAGGAAATCCCAGGAACCAAACTCTTGCGGCCAATTAACAATGATTGAGGGGTTTCACAGATGAAGCATATTTTGTCCTCCGTAGCTTCTTCACATCTCCCCCGGAGGTTCTTCTGCACCCCATCATGTTCGGACAATGGCATATACTGTCATTTGTGCCACCCAGAATATGGAGGCGCCCCGTCCTCTGGGCCCTTAACCGCTGAATCAATGCATGAATCGAGAATGAGCTGCCTGGTGAGCCGAAGTAAGCATATTGAATCGAGAGGGTGCATTAGGCGTATTCCCGCCTGATATCCCGCGGTTGATCCAATCTACAGCAGAAGCGGATTACCAGTTTGTGCAAACCACAACAGGGAGGGTCACTCTTGGTGTCTCTTTGAAAGAATCGCCAACATCTTTGGGCAGCGAGATGCAGGGTCTGACAGGAAAGATCTGCGTTGCAAAGTTGGTGCATATATTCATCGTAACTGGACGAGAATCCTGAGATCTTATGCAAGTCATTCATTTCATGCAGACCGCTCGAGATGCGGGGAGCAAGTGATTGTGCATAGTCAGAGCTACGGTTTTTGTCTTGAGAACAGTCAATGCGACAAGTACCGAGTATTTCGCTCCTCTCTCTGATGGGTCTCGACGATGTTGCAGTCCTGGCTCAGGACAACCTGCCTCAGTCATCAGCTCGCAATTCATCACGTCGGAAAAGACACGACAAAGCCTTCGCCGGAACAAGACGTTGCCAAGCAAGTTACGAGCGCCGGGGTCAAATGTCGAAACGGGACAGCCGTCCCCTGTTCCCCGATGCTAGATCGTGATCCTAGCGGTCCGGATCGGTGGAATTCCTCAGACACAGAAGGGTCACTTGGAGTCTCGACCAGATCGACTCGCTGCGCAGCATTCTCCACTCCCGGTAACTAACGAGTTAGGTGAGCCAGTGAACTGATTTTGTTACATCGATCGCAAGCAACTTACAACTCCTTCCGGAAGTCTAAAACGGAGCAAGCAACGGAGCTCCGCAAGGCAAATCATGAATGAATGGACAGGGGCTTCCGGAAGTAACCTTGCAGTCGTTGGGGCTTCTGACGCCAGCCACAAATCGATGGCAATGTGGGATATCGATGGAGCAAGGTCGAATCCGACCGAATTCCCCAGTCAGACCCTTAGCAATCTCACAGCTTGTTAGCTCTCAATTCGTGAGCAGTTGCTAGGCTGTTTTGCTCTTCTGGTGTTCATTGTTGGCGGTTTCGGCGATCATCACTTGGGACCGCCGAAAGCGCCGGAGGCACCGCCAATTGGAAGAGTTTATCAGTGTGGGATGGCGGGAAGCCTGTTGACGTGATCCTCAACGAAGGTTCAGCGATGAAGCGGAGGCAAGTGGAGTTGACAATGCCGTGTCCAAGTTCACTTTTCTGGTATGGAAAATAATCCCTAAGACTGGCGGTCGGGGAGAAGTTGACGTTGTGATGATGCAAGCAGGAAATCCGAGCCTCTCATCACCATCAGCAGCCGTAAATACCAGCAGGAGGGATGGAAAACCAATCCGTGTGATACTGCAGCATGTCGATTTGCTTGTTTGCAGCGAATGACTGCCCGTGCTTCTTCAACTGGGTGGCGGCGAAGACCTTCATCTTCTCCAAGAACATTGGAGGTTTGCTTCAAACGCTCTCATTCTCCGCTGTCGAGATATCCAAATGGTTGGATAGGAAAAGGCCGACCGTCGTTCCAGCCACGGAGCAAAATCCGTGCATTTTGAAGCAAACAATTGCAATACCCGCTTGCAATGCCCCCAATGGATCGAGCAATTGCCATCATCTTGGTTTGAAACTGGGGCTGGCTGGCTTCTTCATGTCCGCTTCTCATCAACTGCATAGTCTGGACGTTCATGGAAGAGTGGTTGAGCGGCCAGTTGGTCTGTTGGCGTGCCCGCAGCCTTCTTCATTAGCCGAATACTTACTGTAAATGGAGCCTGATCAAAAGTAGTCCTTCGGGATGACGCTTGATGATTGCTTGCGTTGCGGTTTGTCGTGTGAAGATGACTTGAAGCAAATATCAAACCCATTACATCCATCACCTTCCATTTCACTGAATGGAATGTACATACATTTATCACGAGCGAAAGAACTGATATTTTCAAATGTCCAATTCGTACTCCGTATGAGGCCACGGTTTGGAGTACGTTGCATCATTGCTGGGTACACTACGGAGTACAGACTGCTCTGTACGGCGTTGCCGCTTCGTCGACATTGAAATCGGCTGAGCTGACGAGAACGGGACGACAATGACCTGTTCCTGCTGCGCCTACGGTTATTAATGACCTTGGCCGACGAAGTACAGACCAGCGATGGCAACGATTGTCAGCCTCGCCCCTGAAAGCAGATCCAAACCCCCGGCACACCGGGGCTGTGAAGGGCTGCTTGCTGATTGACCGCAAAGCCATCAAGGACGAAGTCTCCGGTCAAGCATTTCCTACTACATAGGTGTTAGTTACGGCACGGGAAGCCCGTCCTGCCCTGAACTGCTAAATCTAGTGTGTCCGCGAAGTACTCCATGAATAGTCATTGAACCGAGATGCTATATCACATCTTAGTCTCAACCACATGATAGTTACAGCGGCAGAGGCTCACCCTCCCGTCCTTGAAAACAAATGTCAAAACCCCACCTCGCTTCTCTACCGATAGTGCTTGCGCTGCCGTCTCAAGTGAGCCGCCCGCTTTTCGACAGACACGGCCATGGATGTATCGTTTTGGGAACCTCCTCCCAAGTCACTTCCAGAAGGAGTGCTCTACCGCTGAATATATCCTCGGGCCTCGGGATGACTTTTCTCGAATAGGAATTTACTCTTTCGAACATTTATAGAAGAGAATCTGGCGAAAACCTGCGGTCATGGATGATATCGATTTACCCTTTTAGGACAATCAAAGGCGGCTGGAATCGATGACGCCCTCTGACGTATCTGCACACCATGTTAAAAGTCTGGGGGACATTTCATTGATCTCTTCCCCCCCAGAGTCCCAGAGCCCTTGTTCGCTCTCGCACCGCGAATGAGTAATTATCGAGATGTGTCATGCCCAACATCCGCCGGTGTGCTCGCTTTTTTCTCCCAAATCTTAGCTTGATTGGCCTTCTGAGTCCCGGAGATTCCTTACGGCCGAATCCGTTGGTCGATGGGTTGCCCGATTCTTCACCAAAAAAATGAACGAATTGGGCCAAAGGGAACGAGCTGTTGAAACCAGACTCGAAACATTCTTTACCGGAACCGCTGGAAACGCCCAGGTGAAACAGGGAGCAATACCGCTCTGGACACCTCGGGGGTGTGGCCAAATGAGAAGATCCGGGCTTCCAGGTCTAGGGAATGTTTGGTTGGACTGGATATTCCGAGGACAGGAATTTCATCCCTAACTTTTCAGGCCAAAAAGGGGGCCGTTGACACGCAATGAGGCTTTTTATTAGCATGTGGATTAACGTATTGAGCAAATGATTGCAAGTCTAATTTTGCGCAGGTACAAGCAATTTCGCCCCCCTTACAAGGCTGAAGCATCCCCTATTCCGGTCAATGGTGATTAAAGATTGTTTAGGCATGATTGTTTTGTACAGTACACGAAGCGTGCCACTCGATTCCCCTCGGACGCCCATCGCATCCGCTTCCCTAACCCTTCGGCTCCAGTCAGCCCCGGTTGTATTCTGTTTCTTTGATCTAGATTGAACCCGACGCTCTGGTTCATCGTGGTGCCCCGACTGCGCCAGCAACAAAAAGGAACATGGCGCCGCGCTAGCCCACACGACGCCCCATAAAACCGCCCATCCTCTCCGTACATCCCCAATCGACCTCTCACAAAGAAGGTGTGAAATCCCTTCTTTCCAGGATTATTTTGTGCTATTTCAACGGGACGGCTCCATAGCTGTTCCCGCCCGCTACGAAGCTGACGATAGAGCGGCAGATTCACCGCCGTCTAACAGACCTGCTTCCTTGACTAGTGTGTAGAATTGCCCGCCGCGTTTGATCAGTTCGCTCGGTGTGTCAAATTCAACGACCCGGCCACGATCCAGAACAACGATCCGATCGCTATCGAGGATGGTATTGATTCGGTGCGCGATAGTGATTATCGTTCGGTTTTGAAAGATGTTACTTCTCAACATTCGTTGGAGCAGTGCATCGGTCTCCACATCGACTGCGGCCTGCGGAAGCGTTTGCAGTTAGCAGCTGAGGGCTGAGAACGTTTTGCCCCACGACCCGAGGTGGCTCCAAAAAAGCACTTACAGTGGCTTCGTCCAAAACAAGGATGTTGCTCGGTGTGAGCAAGGCTCTGGCGAGAGAAATCAATTGTCTTTGTCCTTGACTAAGGTTTGATCCTAACACGCCACATTTGTTATTAGCTCGAATCAATTAGGCACATATTCAAAGGACAATAGAATTCTCACCTCCTTCGTGAACCTGAGCATCCAACTGCCCCGGCAAACTCGCAACATGATCTCTCAGTCGTGCATGTTCTGGTGATTGGTCAACCAAAGTCACTTCCAAGGAGCTGCCGAACAGAATCTCAAGTGCGGATTCAACTCACCCAAAACACTCCATAGCTCCGTGTCATCGTGAACGTGGCGAGGATCGAGATTGTCTCGAACTGTTCCTTCAAAAAGGGCTGCATCTTGAGGAATGATTGCCAGCCGGCCACGTAGGTCGAATAAGCCAATTGAACTAATATTAAGACCATCAATACTGTCAAGAAAGGGGATTTAATCAGCAGATGCTCCAAAATCGCGATCAAAATTAGGTCTTCAGATTGACATCTTACCATATGCGCCCTTCAGCTGCCTCGATGATTCGGAATAGAGCGAGGGTCAGTGAACTTTTCCCTGCACCGGTTCGCCCTACAACTCCGATTTTTTCGTGCGGCTTGAATTCCAAGCAGACATCCTTCAGAACGAGGTCTAAGCCGGCTCTGTATCGGGTGCTATAATGGTCAAAAGCTACACCGCCCTGCGACGGCCAACTTAATGCGGGACGATGCTTGAAAATCACATCGGGTGCTTCGCTCGGCAAGCTGGCATATTCTAATACCCTCTCAACGGAAACGATGTTGGTTTCTACCTCCACGGTTTGGCGGACAATCCAGTTCAATGATTGAGTGATGTTGAGAGCGTACGACATTGCGAGACCGACCATACCCGCCGAAACATGTCTGCCAGTTGCCACTGCGATGATGGACAAGAGGGCAGCCGCAAGAATAACCACGGAGCCGATGAACTCCAGTCGAACCGCAAGCCATCTGTTGGCATTTATAGAAGGAAAGTATGCACGAAGATTTGCGTCGGTTCGCCATTCATTCTCCAGGGCAAATCGCTTCTGCTGCCTGAATGCACGGATCGTCGAAATACCTCCGAGTGTCTCTTGAAAGTGCGCAAAGATAGGACTTTTGGTAACGCTATCGAGACGCTTGAGTTCTCGAGATGTGCGTAGGTAATACTTTTGATAACTGAAATATACGAAGCCAAGAGGTAGTATCATGACGAGGAACGGGGGGGTGGAGATTGAAATGACAACCATTGTAAAAATGGCACGAGCAGAATTTGTAAAAAGCTACAACTCGTTAGTGGAAAAGCGCTCTCATCCATATGCTCACAAGACATACCATATTGAACGTGCGCGCAAGAATTTCGTCGACACGATAGATATCACTGTACATACAACATTAGTAACCATTATGATCCGATATATACTAGTAACAGGAGAGAACTGTATCTCACCTTGAAAACCGATTAAGGATTCGACCAGCTGGAGTAGTTTCGAAGAAGCTCATTGGAGATCTGAATATCGCAAAAGCCATTCGCTCGTGAAGTTTACGAGACGCCTGGTAACTGTCAGTCTCCTGTTGCAGTTCAAATCGCGAAGCAAGCATACTTACCTCAATAGAACAGAATATCCAAAGAATAAGAGTTTGCAAAATGACCAAAGCAGAAGCCCCAATACCAAAGGCGAAGTAGATTCCAATATATTTTCCAATGTTAGGGTTCCGTCCTTCGATTTCATTGATCTCGGACCACCTCTTCAACCAAAAGTTGCCGGCGACCTGGATTGAATGAGCAGAAAGGAGGGCGATAAAGTACAGGCCAACAGCATAGAGATTACTTGTTTTGGCATACTCGCCGTAAACGCTCCATTTCACCTTGCCTTGCTCCATAAACTCTTTGGTTTGTTTTGTTTTGGCACCGCCTTCTTCGTCCACGAATTTTCCCCTCACATTCTCCGGACTGGCTGTGCTGGCCCGTCTTAAAGTAGCCATGCTTCCTCGCCTGATGTTGCCGCCGCTGCTTCTAATGGGAGCAAGTGGCGCCAAGCGCTCCTGAGCTTCCTCAACTTCTGACATATTGTCCTCTTCGCTGGTCTCCATGGCGGTGAGTGTCTCAGATGACCTAGGACTCTCGTCCTCCCTACTGCTTGCATCGGAGGTTGTATCGTCTTCGTTGATTGCGGATCGAACCAGAGATGCTACCTCGCCCTTCATGGCCAGTAGCTGCTCATAAGTGCCTTTCTCAATGATAGTTCCGCTTCGCAAAAGTCCAATGAAGTCGGCTTCTTTCAAAACAGGAATTGAGTTCGTGGAAAGAATCCTCGTTTTCGTGCATAGAATTCCATGTCGACCCAAAACCCGATTGATAATATGCCTACCAACATGTTGATCAACTGCCGATAGCACGTCGTCGAGAAGATAGATGTCAGCTCGAGCATACACTGCGCGAGCCAACGTCAAACGAGCCTTTTGGCCGCCGGAAAGCGAAATCCCTCGCTCTCCAACCTCGGTTTGATCACCATCTGGAAGAATCTGAAAGTCATCTAGAAGTGCGCATGCTTCAACTGTCAGGTTGTAAAAATGAGGGTCCCAGCGATGACCAAACACTATATTCTCCCTTACGCTTGCGTTCATCACCCACGATTGTTGCGCGACATAAGCAACACGTCCACGCAGAACCACTTCGCCATTGATCTTCCAAAGGTCACCTAGCAATGCTTGAAGCAAGGAGGATTTGCCCGCCCCAACGCGGCCTACTATGCAGCTCAGTTCTCCCTTGCGTGCACTAAAGTCGATGTTCTCCAACACATGTCGGCCTTCGTGCCTATCCCAAGTGAAGGTAGCGTCTCTAATCCGCACAGACTCATCGCCGACATGTGTAACTGGGTCTTGGTGCAAAACAGCATCGGCCTGGAGCTCGTCGGCGGTGAAATACGATTTTAGGCGATTGACTGCAACAGAGGCTTCGATAATTGAGGTAATAACCATCGGTAGAATAGATAGCGGGAAAGTAAGGAGATTGAAAAGTGTCAATGCTGGGAAGACTATTTCCGTTGTTAATGGTTTATCATTGGTTAGAACGAAGACGGCAAAGGTGGAACATGAGACGAGGAAAGGCGTAGACGACCATGTAAAGTTGGCGATTGACTGGGTCGCGCCGATTTTCCTCAAGGTATTTAACTCAAGATCGTTGCGAACATGGTTGAGTTTGTTCATAAAAGCGGTGTTCCACGCGTAGAGCTTGATGCTTTTCATATTGTTTAAGATTTCCGTCATCAACCGGGTCCTCTGGTCTTTGTTTCTCATTTGCTTAATTTGAAGATTCTTCATCATCTTTGCAATTAATCCATTTAGGGGGATCATCAGGATCATAGCACCAATACCAGCAAGCATGCTCAGCCCAACAAGCTGGTATAACGATACCATGCAAAGAACAATTTGAAATGGTGCCGACCACAGCTGCATGCCGTATTGTGCTAAATCCGAAAGTCGCTGTTGATCAACAGCCATGTGGTTAACAATATCTCCTGTAGATTTGGACGCACGCCCTTCATTCGACAATTTCAGAGACTTGGTGTAAATCATCGCCGTTAGCGAGGATTTCACACGCATCCCGGTTTCAAAGGCCCGCTGGAAATATTGATGAAGACAAATAGTCTGAACGACAGATGCGGCGAACATTGCCACGGCGATAGCAACACCGCGAGCGGCCGGTTGAGGGTTAGAACCACGGTAAGACTCAACAAAAGATATCAATAGGCGTAGCAACTGCGGCTGGGCGAACGCAAAAATATCACTCCAGGTTTTGACCAAGGCTCCTCGAACATATGGCCCGCTGAAAGCCTTGAAGAGAGCGCGCCAGAGTGACGGCCGCTTCTTTTGCAACTCTTGCTCCCACACCTTCCCGAGCTGATCGCCGGTCACGCGAGTTGTGTCTCTCTGGCGAAGATTCCATAGGTCATCTTGCGTGAGAAAATGTTTGTAGCCATACTTCATCAGGGGGGTCATCCACGAGAAGGTTAACACCGAGAAAATATCGGCATACTCGTATGGACACTCATCCTCGTCACCCAAAGCATCGTAAGCGCTTTGCTTCTTCGGAACCACGTATTCTAAAGCAAATTCTAAAATTGCAAAACCAAGGTTGGCATTAAAAATGATAAAATAAGGTAGTCGTTCCAAGTAGACCTTTCGTGAAACGAGTGAACGAAGCTTCACGGCGTGGATAATAATGTAGAAGACCCAGTAGAAAAGAACAACTCCGTTTGGCTGCCGGCTTCGCCAATGCTCATAGTACTGAACCATATATATAACCACCAACGAAGCGAGCAGTAGTACTGCTGTCCAGAATCTGAAATCTTGAAACCACGTTCCGGGCAGTCTTTCGATTTGAAGGGAGGCTTGGAGGGCAACGAGGAGGACTATGATCCAGATAAGGGACTAGCTATCGGTTAGACCGTCTGGCTCACATCGTGCCAGGGCATCATAAATACATACCAGCTTTGCATAGAAATGCCAATTCTTCCCCACCGGCTGGGGCACTCGACGCCGCAACAGCAGCCACAGAGCTCCGGCACCCATCACAAGGCCCCAGAGGGCGACGAAGAGCACCCAGGTATCTAAAAAGCAAGGCGTGAAATCATATCTGTGAGAGCTGATCGGCCCCCAGCCCTCAGGGTCGCGGCAAAAAGGATGGCGGCGGTCCTCCACTGCCGGGAACGGTGAACTCGCGGCGGACTGGTCTCCCAGGACCACCTGAGGATAAGCATTGTCGGCCATTTTCTGGTCATGGACGAGTTACTCGCTGGCCAGAAGATGAATGCCTGCAGTAACTAGACAAGCAGAGGATGAGGTCTAGCCAGCGAGGAAGTTCATTTCGCTGTGAGCTGTGGGAGCGAGTTCGACTAGCTTGAGCAGAGGCCGTAGCTTACAAAGCTGCCAGTGAGCCGCGGGCTGACTAATTCAACGGCGGGCTTCGGATTTAACAGCGAAGAGTGTCGGGATACGGAGTAGTTGACTCACATTCCTTGAGGTTCGAATTAAACTAGGATGACAAGGCCTTCTCCGACTCCCATAAAGGGCCTCCGATGCTCTCTTTCACTACAATAGGCCCTGGAGTAAACCCTCGAATAACATGCGCACTGTCACGCTAGGCTCCATTAGGCTAGCGCTGATCGTTGAGTTGAAAAACACCGTGAAATCGTCATCCAGCGTTTCTCCAGCACAACGAACCTCACGCCAACCACGCAGCCCACGGTGTCCCTATGGCTGCCACCAAACAGAATCCCCAGGAGCTTCTTCAGCGGCCGCTCTACGGTATGATCGACATTATATCTACATGCTTCGCTAAAACTCACGTAACTATCCAGTGTTTGACCTCCCAGCGGAACTCTTGGCAACCCTCAGCCGCCGAGAAACCAGCGGTAGCGCTCCCGAACCAGAGCAACAGAAGCTCCAAGACCCCTCAGACCAAGGAGAGGCTGGAGCGGCAACCTCCACGTCTTGTTCTCTGTGTCAGGTCTCTTTCGAGAATGTTGGCGAGCAGCGCGATCACGTTCGCTCCGACCACCACCGATACAACCTGAAATCCCGAGTGCGGGGCAATGCGCCCCTAAACGAATCGGAATTTAATCGAGCCATTGGGGAGCTGGATGAGTCAATATCTGGATCGGATTCGGAGTCGAGCGATGAAGAGGAAGGCGGCCAGAAAACTCCGGACAACACTCTGGTCGCATTGTTGAAACGACAAGCTAAACTTTCTGCGCCGGAACTGGAACACCCTATTGCTGCGAAACATAAAGGCGCTAGGAAACAGCCAATAGTATGGTTTACCAGCTCCCTCATTCCGTCGACAACTTATTTGGGGGTGTATCGAGCGCTATTCACGGATGCAGAACAAGATGGTTTGGATAATTTAGTTTCCGCATTGCGGGAAAAGCAGGTCAAGTCTGTGGTACGACATTCGAACAAGGCCCCTCAGAATGCCCCTTTAAACAACGCCCCTCGCAACCAAGCCCAAAAATACTTCCTGTGCATGATTGGAGGTGGCCATTTTGCCGCGATGATCGTCTCGGCTGCTTCCGAGATCAATAAAAACGCCAGTGGCCTTGAGGAAAGAAAGCCAACCGTAATCGCCCACAGATCATTTCATCGGTACACTACGAGAAGAAAACAAGGAGGTTCACAATCCGCCAACGATGCCGCAAAGGGCGCTGCCCATTCTGCCGGATCCTCGCTGAGACGATACAACGAAGCCGCGTTGGAGAAAGAAATCCGGGATCTATTGAAAGACTGGAGGGAAATGATTGATACGTCAGAGCTCCTATTCGTGCGTGCATCGGGTACCACGAACCGCAGAATTTTATTTGGCGCCCATGAGGGACAAGTGTTGAAACCGTCAGATACAAGGCTGCGCTCAATTCCATTCACCACTCGTCGAGCGACCCAAGCTGAACTCCTCAGGGCTTTTGCTGAGTTGTCGCGAGTAAAAGTCAGCCAGTTCGACGAAGCTACTCTCGCAAAGGAGCAAGAAAAGTATCAAGAGGCGGCTGCAAGGCCTTCAAAACCGTTGGCCGCAAAGCAGAAACCAAAAATATCAAAAGACGAAGAAGAGGCCATGCTCCATACTTCTCAGATACAAGCTCTTATCCGACGGTCCAAGGTGCCTGCCCTATTATCATATTTTTCAAATAACGCAATAGCCCCGTCTTTTAAATTTCATTCTTCAGCATCACAGCCCATCCATCGCTGCCCTACTCCATTGCACCTTGCCGCAAATTCGAATGCGGCCGCAATTGTGAAAGCCCTTCTTACCAAGGCTGGGGCTGACCCTACTCTATTAAACGCTGAAGAACGGCCTGCATTTGATCTTGCAGGCGACAGACCAACGCGTGATGCATTTCGCATAGCCCGCCACGAGCTAGGCGAGGCATCTTGGGACTGGGAAGCTGCCCATGTGCCGTCGGCAATGTCCCAAGAGGATGTAGATAGCCAGACGGGCCGTGATAAGGAAGCCGCTGCGCAATCAGAGGCGCAAAGACGCAGAGAAGCTTTGGAACGGCTCAGAAAGGAGGATGCTAGCATGGCGGCGCAGCAAAGGAAGCCTCTCGGACGCACACCCGCATCTCAAAAGTCCGCAGCGGAGAAGAGAGAAGAAGAGACGCGAGGGATGACTCCAGAAATGAGGATGAGGTTGGAGAGGGAGCGCCGAGCTAGAGCTGCGGAAGAACGTATCCGCAGGATGCAGGCTGGCTAACTGAGCAGCCTTCCCGCGTTCTGGATTCAGAGCAAGGCAAAATGCGAAGTTATTTTCACGGATGATGACTCTTTTCGTACCAAGCACAGTAGACAGGGGGAAGCCGCCGACAACAGCAAAGCGAATCTCTGCGGGCAATTGAAGACTTGTTGCTTGAGCTCTACACGGATCTCTCATTCGCAGCTCAAAATCTTCAGACGGGTTTGCTTTTGCTGTCGGGCCGTCAGCCTAACCGGACCTTTTTCCACAATCCCAAGCACTCCTGCATGTGCGTGGAAACCTTGCCGTCCGACTGGGCGGCGATTTGCATGGTATAGATCATTGCAGCCGCATAACAGAAACAAGCTTGATTCTGTTTCAGCTCTGTAATATCCGAGATGTTTAAACCGCTTTTGGCCCAAACCATCCACCGATCGCAAATCTCCGCAATCGATTTCGCACTGGTGACATCCAAAACCATGAGATACAGAGCAGCGCGAACGACATCTGTCAAACCATAATCGGCCGGGATATCCCTTTGGGCCACCAACCATGAGAGGCAAGCCTCTGCGACAGCTTTATTGCTTAGCCTCGGCGAATTTACTGCCTCCGTCAGGCGCCTCTCTTCATATTCTCGTTCCAACTTCTGAGTCTCTCTAAAATCATCTTGCATATTCCACATAGTAGTTTGCTCTCTCGCTCGCCGCGATGCTTCTGCCTGTGCTGGCGGCATGGACCTCTCTAGCTGGGCCTGTCGTTGACTCTCCAGGAATCGCCGATGGTGCTTCCAGGGATCACTGAAGCTTGGTTTTGGGGTCGACCAGTGTGGCAACTCGTGTTCCTGCATGATGCCTAGTATCTCCATGAAGCCACATGGTACGGCGTCTCTTTGCGTGGACTGATGGATATCGGATGGCAACGCAAAGTTCCATGTTGCGGTCCTTTCTATCTGACCAAGGGATGAAGCGGCGTACACAAACCATTGACCGGTCATCTCGCCAGTAGAGCTAATTTCCCGAACCATGGATGTGAGTGAGTTGGAGTGTTCAAAGTATATCCGGTCAATGGTGTCCCCTTCAAGACGAAACCTGATGCTGTCACTAGTGTTTTTTTCGCCATGTAGCGCAACTCTTTTTTCTTCGACCAAAGCAATAAGTGAAGGCATAGGCGCAGCATCTGTGCTTTTATCGGCCTCGTCGCTATCTTCTGTGCTTTTGACTTCTGTCTCCTCTACCACGGGCGTGTCTGCAACCATAACTTTGCTGTCAGCGGCTGTGCTCGACGATTCTTCCTCCACTTTGATAATGCAGGCACCAGACTTGTAATCCTCCTTCTCCAAACCCGTACTTGTAGCTAAATTCCAAGTTGGCTGGTTGATTCTCATCCAGAAAGGCGGCAGACATTCTTTACTACGCCAATCCCAGTCACCGCTCCAATGAACTTTCAAACTTAGCACTCCATCGGAATCATCCGAAACTCCAACGCGCAACACACCACCAAACTTTCCCTGGGGTGGGCGCAAGAGAACCGTCCCAGTCGGTGTCCATAACCCACTCGTCCGCAGCATACTCCATCCATTCTCGTCAGGCACCGCGCCACGATCCAGCAAGAAAGAAACCAATTCATGAAAATCAATTTCCGCCTGCGGGACCCTCAATTCATCCTTGTATTGAATCCGATACAGTTTCTTGCCCGTGACGAGGCGATTCCAGTGAAAGTACGACCAGGTCCCGCCCTTCAGAAATGACCGCTCCGGGTTCAACTCCCAGTACTCGGGGTCCTGGTCACGGTCAAGAGGGGTGATTGTGCATCGGGGCAGCTCTACTTCGACGATTCCAGACATCATGCTGCCTCTTGTTACGGCAGAGTCGGAATGGCCGTTTCGCGCCAGGGCGAGGCGGATGGATCGGAGAATGAGGAGGGCACGAATGCAGGTGTATATGATGGGCATGACGCCCAGAACGGCAAGGGGTACGCCAATGTAAGTGATAATATCGGATGCACTTGCAGACATTCTGGCGATGCTAGGTAGGGCTTCTTCTGCAAAACTTTACAGGAGTGCGCGACAAAGAGGTAAACATGCAGTAGCCATGCGTGTTAGCCTGGGAGTTGACTAGTCATCCCGCGCCCAGGCCCTAAAACTGACAGGAGAACGGAGACGCTTTTGGCATCCTCGCAAACGTGAAGGACCTTGGGTGGAAATCAGATGCACTGCCTCTGATATGAAAGATACTTGCAAGAATTCTCCTATCTGGGAATCAATATGGATATCCTCGAGCATATGGAACCGGGCATCACCTGATCCATGCTTAATTCAACCTCACATCACACCCAGCGGAACCACCAGGATGACTTCTCAGGATGCTTCAAGTGGAAATGATTGACTCTGGTCTATGTAGTCTGTGATGTTGTCTCTTCGCTATCTTCTCTCAACATGGCTCCCCTTGCGGCAGATGTTTGCTCGTCCTTGAGCCCGAGCCAGAGGCATGTCGCAACACTATACGAACGGAATCGCCATGGGGAACCCGCCAGGAGTGGGTTTCCTTTTCCCCAAGCATGGCTGAATGCTCCCACTAATGATGCCTCGATGAACGTTTAACAGCAATCGACATCTTTGCCGGAACAACGCTGGTTGTTGGCCGTAGCCCCAAGTCATGGTAAGGCGGCAACAGAGTTCTTGCAGGACAGCATTCTTATGGGATATAGCCAGGTGGTTGTCAGCGACCCGCGAGTATCACAGAAGCACCTCCGCATATATGCTATCATTTTTGACCCTGATAACCCCGATGAGGTCGCACCGCTCGTTTACGCTCAGGATATTTCGTCCAACGGGACACTCTGGAATGGTTACAGGATAAGGAGAGCTGGCGGTGTGCTGTTGAGTGACGGTGATACCCTTGAACTGTGCGACGGTATCACTTTCACTTTCAAAGCGCTCAGAAACGATCAAAGTGTATTTTCTGGGATTCAACTAGAGGAAATGAAGGTAAGAGATATGTGTGCTTCTAACATTGTAACCCATCGCAGGACATGCTGATACCTTGAAGGGGTTCCAACATGAGTTCCTGATTACACAGCGCATGCTCGGATCAGGGGCCTACGGGCAAGTCTATATGGCCGTAGATCAGCGAAACAGGACACAATTGGCTTGCAAGGTTATCGACTTAAGCGCGATCAAATCCCAACTTCGAGCATCGCATTGCTGCGAAACCAACAATACTCCGCGCCCAGCCACGAATATCGATCCTTACAAGCAAATATCTGAAGTAAAGAAGTGGGTGGAACGACGACAGCTCACGAAGAAATTAGAGCTGAAACTCAAAGCGTATGATCGGGAAGTGGAAATATTACAAAAACTTCGACATGTATGCATCCCCATAACTATTGGTGACCGAACTGATCATATTATTATAGCCCAATATCGTCGGTGTTGAGCGGGTCTTTAAAACTGAAAATACAATGTATTCCTCAGCCTTCAATTCGTCGAAGCCTATATCTAACTAATACATTTGCAGATATATATTTCAGGATTTAATCCCTTCTGGAGATCTTTTCTCATTTCTTGAATTCAAGAGATGGAGACTCCTTGATGCCGAAGTAGCGGTGATAGTGCGACAAATCCTGATAGCCCTTGACTACCTCCATGATCGGAATATCGTGCATCGGGACTTGAAGCCAGACAACGTCTTGATGACATCGTTGGTCAGTAGTTGCCGTGTAGTCCTAACAGATTTCGGCTGCGCACGGCATGTGCCCCGAGAGACAAGCCGCATGGCCTCCGTAATGGGAACATTTGAATACACGGCTCCGTGAGTACCGAGTCACAATCAAGGATAACGACGGGTTGTGTTGACAGATTTTAGCGAAATAGATCATGCAATGGCCAAAGAGGGCTACACAAAATCAGTTGATCTATGGTCTCTTGGGTGTGTAACGGTTGTGCTACTCACGGGAGGCTCGCCGTTCCAGGATCCCGAAACCCAGCAATATTCGCGAAAATTAGCCAAGGAATGCAATCTCGAACTACTCGACAACATCAAAGAATGGTCCCATGTTGGACCCCGAGCGAAAGGTTTCGTGCATGGGCTCCTTATCCTGGATGAAAAACGTAGAATGACAGCAAAGGCTGCTCTTATGCATGCATGGTTCACCAATTCCACTCACAAGGAAATATTTGACCGAATCTACCAAAAGGCGATTTCCGATTGGAAACCACGGCCTAATAGCGAGGGTGACATCCGCAGTTCTCGTTACTCCGACAGCGAATTTTCAAGTGGATTGATTCTCGCCGAGGAAGCACAGTCATACAATATTCTCGGCCCGCGAGTAGGATCAACTTTAGGACAAACGTCTATTCAGCCCTTCGTTGAAATAATTGCATCTCAAGAGGATCTGCCGACACCGCAGGGTCGAAGCCCTTCAATCACACTGTCGGACCCTGGTTTCAAAGGCCTGAGTTCATCTCCGCCGCGCACTCCTATACTTGTCAGCGGGTCATCGTCTGATGAAAGACACCAAGTACAATTACTAGGTACGGAAAGGCTGATGGAATGGATATCAGTTCCCGGGTCCAATACCGAACTTGATATTGATGACATACCCAACCTAGGGGCTAAATGCTCCACCCAGGACGTTGATAAATGGATTAAGGATACCCATGATAAAACAAAGCCGCCAGTGCGCCTTCCTTTTAGTCCCGCGGCGTGGAACTTGGGAAGGGATGGCCCCAAAATATCTCAATCAAAGGGGCAACTATGTAAAATGGGCGCCTCTGAGTTGAAAGAGGCGCCAGACAAGCATTTGCAGACAAGGTTAGAATCAGTTTACAAAGTCGAGGAGATCTTACGGGGCACCCGCCTGCAAAGGCCGGCAAAAACAAACAAAGCCCTGGGTGAAACCAAGAAGAGACATGGCGGGGACGTTTTTGAGCTGAGCACGGAATCTTTGGCTGCGAAACATCCAAGAATCCGGTGAGATTGGTGAGATTGGTGAGATTGTTTCAACATGCCACTGTCCATACCCATAGTTGATTTGAGACAAATTACTCTGTATTGGGATGAATCAATGCGGCCGACACAAAATCATAAACTGGTCATTGTATGTTTACCAGTAACTCCCTGTCCGGGCTGTCCCTAGTTAGCCTTCTTTGTGTGTTAGCCATCGAATAGTTGCCGGGATCAGGGCAATGACAATCAAATGCATCATTCCGTGAAGAAACGAGAACCCAAAAAAAGAAGCCCAGAGAAATGACGCATCTCGGAATGCTTCTCCCCCCGCTGTTCCAATTATCGATTTGCGCAGGAGCAGTTCGTCGGGAGAGCAGTTGGGATCAAAATTTACTTTTTTAGCTGCAGAACGGAAAAAGCAACGTTGCGATAACTTGACTCGCCAAGAGTGGGTTTGGCTCCAGGCGCGCGGTCGAGCCCGGACGCGAAAAGTAAACGGTGGGCGCGCCAGCACGCGACGAGTCGACGCGTTGAGTTTAATGAGATCTGTTTGAGAAGCGCGATCCGTCAAAAGCACGTTTGGGCCAGACTATCCCCATCTATCGCCTTTGGAAATTGCCCGCTGGGCGGGAAAAGCTTGGTGATTTGGGAAGGAATTCCAAGTGCGGAGGACTCCATCGCATCAGCTGATGGGTGTCATGATCCTCCCTTCTGGAGTCTGAGCCTGTGCACAAGGTTTTTGGGGCAGATTGGAGTTGCCCACTATTGAGAGGGCCGGCGCTTTCAATAGTGGATTACGGAGTGCATTGGTCTTCGATGTTTACGGCCAACGGAGGAGTGCATACTGTGTCGTCGATTTCCAGTGTCTGTTGTTCCGCTTCGTGTCCTAGATCTCAAAATTGTTTCGAGGACTTCCGTTGTTGCAGGGAACCCGACAGCCGTTGTATTATGATCTGCGGCTTAAGGAGAAGCTTGCAAGGAATGGGGGCCGAGCGAAGAGTCGAGAAAAGAATACAATGCCCCTTTACAATTGGACGAAGCGTCGCAGCTTTCACGTGGATAAGCATCGATGATTAGACTGCACTTGAGGTGGTGATTCATCAAATCGTGATCCTCATCTTCATGAGTCCCGACTTTCGCCCTGAGCACCCCGTGAGTCGAGTCATCTCTGCCACAATAGGAGATTTAACACTACAAGATGATGGCGCTGCTACCAAAAGCAGACCAGCACCAGCCGTGCTTTCCTCTGTTGTCGTGCCTGCCGTGTGTTTGACTTGCAGTTTCAGGAAGGCACGATGGCCGGTTTGTTTGTTTGTGTTCTCTGCCGCACAAAACAGGTTAGACCCAGGCACAAGGTTGCCAAGCCCATTTTGACACTAAGGAGGGCCCACTTCCCTTGAGGCTAGCCGCTTCTGGGCTCGGCGCGCGCTGCCATTGGCCATGTCTTGACGCTAGGCTGCACACTAGCCTCCACTAGCGCCGACAGGGAGGCCGCCGATTCTCTTTTTTCTTTTCCTTGCGTGTTCTTCTTCTTCCCTCATCCCTTCCCCCCCCATCTTTTCCTCCCAACCTCTCTCTCTCTCCAGCTTCCCCTTCCCCCCGACCAGCCTCTTCGCTCCTTTCCACGCCACACAGCTGTCGCAACGCGTATCGCACGCATCCGTTCGAAGCGCATTGCTCGTTACTACTCGTCCAGCCGGTTTTTATTTCCAATTTTCCCTGTTATTCATAGAAAATCGCATCCGGCGCAAAAAATCTTGTCGCCTAGCAACCGATCGCAACACGCATCGCCTCGACCTTGACGTCCCCCCCGTCCCATAGAGCGCGCCATACCGATATAGCTATACTGCGCATTGCCGTCCGGTTTGACCACAATGCTCCTTCCGTCCGCATTGTCGTGTGACGCACGACAACCTCCTCCTCGATCACGATTCCCCTCCACTCGCTTGTTCCCCGCGACTCCTCCGCCTTCCGACGACGGCTTTATTGCAGGCAACGGGCTTCGAGGAACCTGTCGCGCGCTCCAGTCCCTCCTTAACGCCTCTCCTGCTTCGTCTCCCCGCCGTTCTAAGCCAGAACGGCTGCAGAGCCCACTGCAGATCCGCGCCAACACCATCACTCGAGTCGCGAAACCCGTCGCTAAGCCACCGCGCGGGATAAATAAGAGAAGAAGAGATGCGTATGAAGACGAGAGTGACGAATATATCGATAACATGGCCCCTCGCGATAAATTTTCAACGCCAAAACGCCAACGTCGCGCACCCCCAGAGCTACCACTCGGACTGGACCTGTCGGATTTCAAATCACTAGAATCATCAAGTGATACCGAACAAACTTCAGAGCCTACACCACGTCAGTTAGAAGTACCTCGCCTCGATGAGCTACAGCAAAAGTCCAGCGAATCAACACCGTCGCAATTAAATGTGGACAGCCACCAGGATCCAAGTTCAGATTGGACGACTGAAGATGATGGGCGACTGGTGGAGTTGGTGCTGGAAAAGTTGAAACTATCGAAGCGAGACTGGACCGAATGCGCGCGAAAGATGGGCAAAGACAATGATAGTGTTGGGAGGCGATGGAAGGCACTGATTGGCGAAGGCAACGTTGGCCTTCGGCGAGGCAGACGCATGGTCAGAGCCAGAATACATGAGAGCTGGAGATGACCCCTTGTGCCTTTCGTTGCTCCTTATTCTCCAAGGACATCTGGCTGGTTACGTTCAGGTTTCATTTTGTGATCGTTTGAACTTAGCGTTTGAAGTGGCCTTGATTGGGCTTTTGCACTGGGTGGCTGGCATGCTTGGGGCTCTCTATCTATCGGGATCTTTCTCTTATTTATCTCTTTTTATTGTTCCTATTATCTCTAATGTCTGGGCACCTTTGGTCGATTGTACTGGGTGGCTTCTCTCCTTCATTCTATTTCCTTTCCACTTCCTATTGTCAATATCCTATTGTCCGGAGTCCTATTCCCCTTTTTTTCTATTTCCTTGCGCAAATAATTTTTCTATTATTTACTGTAAACTAAAGCTGCATTTTTACTGATTTGATATGGTTATCAGATATTCAAACATTGTACAATTACTTTAAATTGTCCTGTATCATCCCATTGCCAGGATTGAGGATCACTAAGAGCATTTGCTGACACTGAAACGCTTTGTCTACCTTGAGTCCTGTTCATACAAGTAGCAGGCAAAAAGTGTCTGCTGCTGCATCATAACCGCACATGTAAACCACTGTACCTCATCCACAGAGGTGCGATGCTGATACTTGCCCTTCTGTTTATCAATTCCTAGAACAGCAAAGCTAAACTGGACAGGAGACGCCGACAGCGAAACTAAGTAATAGTGGGAATCCACACGCTCCGGCGCTAGAGCACGATGGGGGGTTGCAGATGTTCCACGGGATGAATTGATGAAACCTGAATATGAATGCTTCATTGCGAGATTTCCGTTTAGATACACAAATGAGCAAAGGTCAACATACGACACTGGTCGTGGAAAAGGCGAATATAGAGTATAAATCATCTTGACGAGGACTGGCTTTTTCTCTTTTCTTCCTCAAAAAAATCATCGCCAAAGTCCTCACTTCCCACGTAATCTGCGTGACCCCCATTGAAAACTGGAATAAGAGTCGTATTAACACGGGGTTCGTCGGCGGCATAGCGATTGAATCTGGTCATGCAGTCCGCAACCGCCAGATACGGCTCCCGAATCTCTTCTGGGAAGGTGTTGGCTATGGATCGGTCCAGAACAAGTCCTTCAAGAAGGACTATTTCAATTTGTCAGTGGTGGTTCGGTACATCAAAGGCTACAGGATCAAACTTACCATCATCCACCAGAATCACGCCGCGCGGGGAGAGAAGTTTATGATCGAGAATATATCGAACGTACTCCTCGTATTCTTCCTCGGCCGCATCAATGTAGATTAGGTCGAACTGGCCGGACAATGTCGGGAGCCTGGGCGCAGTAGTTGTTAGCAACCTATACGCCCATTACGCAAAAAAAAAGAAGTAGAAGGCAGGAGCATATACATTTTAAGACATGGTCCTTGCACAGTTCGAATGCGGTCGTTTGCCCCATACCGGCTAAACGCATCGTTGGCGTACTTAAGGTACGTTTCGGATAAGTCCATGCTGATAATTTCCGCCTGCGTTTTCCTCGTTGCCTCGTAGAACACTAAGCCACTGACGCCGGTAAAGGTACCCAGCTCGAGAACTATAGAAATGGTGAGTGCGCAGAAAGGGGCTCTTGCGGGGCATTGACGCACTTCGGGTAGGGGCCAGGACCTGAGTGAAGCTCATCATCCAGGCACACTGGGCGGGAGAGGGCGCCATGACAACCTCATCCTTTGACAAGCTGTCGGTGAAAGTAATCTGCTCAAGGATCGAGCGCGGCAATTGCGAGCTATGAGCCTCACAGTAGGCGCTGGCGACGCCTACCTGCTCTTTGGTAAAGGGCAGCATACATGTATCTCTCATCTCGACGGTATTGGATTGGACAGGCACGAATGCGCAAAATCAGAGAAATTTCGGGTTTGGTCAGAGAAGGTGTTCTGGGACTTTGTCAATGGCTTCCAACACTCGTGCTTATGACATGTGGCCGAAAGTGTGCTAATGTGACTGGTAAAGTCGGAGAGCGAGATCGCACCCGCTTTCCTTGCAATTACCCTCATGGTTCTCACAATCCGGCAATTCCAGGGAGGTCCACCAGTGATTGCGTTTGGCAACTGGGCTGCATATACTACCTGCCACAACCGACGGGAGAGTCTGGAGTACGTGCACTTTGGATTGCCATCCAGACTGACAGTGCAGGTGGAGTTGTCAACTTGCAGAATGGCGTGCAGAAATACATATGCAGTGTGCCGATCAAATGACGAGTCTCATGCAACAACTACACTGAAGCAGTCGGTTTGACGACGACGATTGACTCGGCGAAAATCCTCCCGGGAAGCTTGGTTCGAATCGGATCCCGATTATCGGTATTCGCTGGCTGACCTGATCCTCGGACCTCCCGCCCTGGTCCCTCGGTGGTTTTGACGATCAGACAGGCGCCACTGCTAGGCTGGAAATCGCTAATCCAGGTCACAAGTTGTCAACTGCACATCACCTCGGGCAGGTTCTCAATCACCCCAAATCAACACGAAGTTGTGACTTCCGCATCATAGTCGCGAGAAGAGGGGTTGATGCCCAGAGTAGAATGGATGTCGGATCCCTCCGTGGTCAGCTCAAGCCACAGTGCGACATCTAGGCCGTGTCTAAACAACAATATCCGCGAATGGGTTCGAACACGGTGGCGTGGATGATGGCGATGGAGACCTTGTGCAGCCTTGAACGCCGAGACCTCTTTTGGAGCCGAGCTTTCCAGCTAATTTGGGAACAGGTCAGCTAGCCCAGCTGTGCATTCAAGCATGGATTTAACGAGGGGCAACTCGGCATTGGGATCGTCGTGTATGCTCTTATTAAAGCATGGGAGTGTTAGCGGTGCTCTTTAGTTTGACAAGCGGAAGCGACCAAATCTTTTTTTCCCTGACTCTACGCTCTCAATAGTACAGTGCATTGACCATTGTTCCCGTCGAATTCCAATCAAGTCACCATGACTGTCTCTGCTGAATCCAAGCCGCAAATCCCCCGAGTCTCTGTTGACAGTGATCTGACCCAGGTAAAGGATATTCTTGAAGAGCATGGAACCGTGATTGTGGAGAGTTTGGTGCCCCGCGATGTCGTTGACCGGCTGAATAAAGATTTGGACCCTTTGGTTGAGGCCCATCCTGGGGGTCTCGAGAGCGAGGCGTTCCCCAAAGCCCGGCTGCCTGTCTCCACGAAATGGCTCCAATTCCTCACTGCAACTTGCAAAACATTTCGAGAGGACATCCTCAATAACTCGGCTATACATACTATATGCGAGGACGTCTTCGAGCCCCTGGGTGATTATTGGTTGATATCAGGAACCGCGATGGATATGGCTCCCGGTTGTGCGGGCCAGCCACTGCACCGAGACGACGTTTCGCACCCGATCATCCGGCACCTGGGACCTGAGGCCCCAATTACAGTGGTTGCGTTTTTGATCGCCTTGACTCCCTTCACCGCGGAGAACGGTTCCACCAGGGTCATCCTGGGCAGCCATAAATGGCCCACGCTCGGTCGGCCCAACGAAGACGATACGGTCAGGGCGGTAATGAATCCAGGAGATGCAATCCTTATTACCGGGCGGATTGTCCATGGGGGAAGTCGAGACACTACAGGAACCCCTCGACGACTCCTCAGCTTGGGAATGGGCATCTCTCAATTGACTCCATACGAGGCGCATTCGGCGCTGCCCCGCAAAGTCATTGAGAGTATGACCCCGGTAGCTCAGCGAATGGTGGGCTGGAGGAGCCTGCGTCCGGCATTCCCGAACGTGATCGGGCTTCAGACAGTGCGGATGGAGCCCATGGAGGACTACTTGGAGTTGAAGTCGGAGCAGCCGCTTGAAGAGGGGGCATAAAAGCCAGCATGGTGTACTTTAGCTGAGTATTCGGGCTAGCCGCTTGGGAGGATGCAATGGACTCGTGATGGAAATGAGCAGTGAAGGCTTGATGTTGAAGGAAGCAAGTACAATGTACGGAGTAGTTACGATATCAATGAATTAGTCAGTTATTAGTCAGCTAATTTGAGCACGTGACACGCCTGTAAAATCTGCCCGAAAGAGTAACCGGCACCTCGTCCTTCACAGCTGCGCTTCGGGACCGTCCAGGAACCTCACCAGCGTCTGGATGAAGTCTGCCAGCAGCCGCTCGGCGAGCACCTTGTCCAGCGACTCTGCTCTCACCATCAAAAACGCCTTCAGCTTTCCCGGCTCCGGCCATGTTACCAGAGTATGCCGCTTCCAGCCTCCCATCGTGAAGATGGGATCCAGCATCGCTCCACTCGCTCCTCCAAGGCTCAGCTGCGGGCCACCGCCGAAATTCTCATGCAAAATCACCGAATCCAAGTCTGTCTCGTTCGGCCACGAGGTGCAATGTGCTACAAGATCCTTCCACTCCAAAGTCTCAAACTCCAGCGCTTGGACGTGTTGGTGCTGGATGAGACGGAATAGATCAATGACCGTGCTAACTGCGCCTGTCTGATAGTTGACGCGGATCGGTGTCGTGTTGAGGCACGTCCCAACCGTACCCTGCACGCCGTCAAGATTCATCGCGCGGCCATCGATCACCTGGCCGAAGACAACATCCTGTTGTCCGGTCTCTTGCCGCAGGACAAATGACCACGCAGCTTTGATTGCAGTAGCCATCGTGATCCCCGTGGGCGGTGCTGCCGGGGAACATTCCTTGATATACATGTCGCACTGCCCTACTTTGCCCTCGTCTGGACAACGCGGCACACGGGTGACCTGTGCTCCTGCCAGCAGGCTTTTCCAGAAGTTAAATGCCTGCGGGGTCCTCAAGCGCGCGCACTCGCGACGATACTGGGGGAAGTCTGTGATCACGCGCACTGGTTTGCTGTTGTATGCCCCACTGATCTGGTCTGCCAGAGGCTGCAAACAAACTGCATCGTATTGCGCATGAGTCAATCGGAGGACGAAGATGTGTTTGTTGTTGACTTCTGGGAAGAGGATGAACCGAGCTGTGGGCTGATCCATCGGCGGGGGGTTTTGTTTATCTACCATGCAGTATGCTCGCGCGGCGACAATGGGATCTTGATTACCATTTTCTGGAAGTTCGACTTCCGTGTACAATGAAACCGCGATGCGTTTAAGTATCACTTGGACGATTTGTTCTCGGAATCTGACAAAGATCGAGCGCAAACTGGCGTTGTTTTGCACTACTGATTCGCACGCAAGCCGCAACTGGTGCTTATCCAGAGAACCGTCTATCTCAAACGGGAAGTAGTCGACCACTTTGGCGTCAATTATTAGGGTCTGCATCTCTGTGGTTGGTATCACGTCCTCGATATCATGCGCCGCCAGGCCCGAAGGTAGATTGGCAAGGAAGTCGTCCGCAAGGGCACGATAAGGATCCACATGTCCGGAAGATAGAGACGCCACTGATTCTGCCTGTGGCACGTGCTTCCCGGCACATTGAGCCAGGGCGGCCAAAGTAGCCTCGTTGAAAACTTGAGTCAGGGTTAAGCTAAGCCGATGCGAGCGGGCTTTGGACACGAGCTGACGCGCAGTTAAAGAATCGCCGCCGATGTTGAAAAAGTTGTCGTTAATACTAATCTCCGAGAGCGGCAACGCAAGCACTTCCGCGCATATGGACTGCAGTGTTCTTTCTTCTGTCGTTCTTGGTGCAGTGTAGACGGGTTTGTCCCATTGATACACCATGAGATCAGACAAGGGTAGATTTGATGCTGCTTCACGCAGACCTTTTCGGTGGATTTTACCCGTGACCGTTCTCGGGAGGTATGTCAGTGGAATAATGGCGCTGGGCACCATAAATGTAGGGAGGATGCGGCGCAGCTCCTGGATCGCTTTTCGCGCTCGTTGGCGATGCTCGGATGTTGGCGGCGCGAACATTTTTTCATTAATATCAGGCTTCGCTCGTGATGGAGCCGATGAGTTGTCCAGAACGAATCCGACAAGCATTGCGGTTTGCTCTCTGTGGTTGCTTATGGTGATACCCACAACCTCGGCGACCACGGACACAGCGCCTGTGAAATGACAGCGCATATGATGCTCGACCTCTCCTAATTCTATCCGTTGATCACGAATCTTTGTCCGGGTCCCTTTCCGGCCAACAAACTGAATGGAACCCTGGATGTCTCGGAAACGAACCAAATCGCCTGTGAGCACGCAGCGTGCTGGATCGTCATCCGCGCGTATCTGTTGAAGCCATGATGGCCGTTTGACAAAAACCTCTGCTGTCTGTTTCGGGTCATTGATATATTCCAGGCCTAGGGAAGGGCTCTCTATCATAAGCTCCCCCTCTGTGCCTAGAGGCTTAAGGAGATTATGATCTTCTGGATCCACGACCCAGCAATTTCCGCAGCTTAACTCCCCAAGATCGGTTACCCGGCGGACGGACTGACCCGACAGGCTGCCTACAAAGGTGGTGGCGGCAGTCTCTGATTGACCGTAAAGAGTATATAGCGTAAGGTAGTCTTTCCATTGCTCGCGATCCGCATTCGTTAGGGCTTCTCCCACTAGAAGCAGGTCTCTCAACGCCGGAATATTCTTTGGCGACAGGGTTCTTGCTACCGAGGGCGTGAGGATCGCCCAGTCGGCGTTTGTGCGGGTGATACTCTCTTCTAGTTCGGTGTCTGATTGTTCTTCTGACGCGATGCAGATGCAAGCACCGACAGATAGGGCGACAAGATGTTCAAATACGCTAACTACAAAAGCGTAGGATGCGAATTGAAAGGTTCGAGACTCAGGTCCTAGTCTCGTTCGACGACAGAACTCCTGCACCCCGGAGCCATAGGATGCACGATCGACGATGACAGCTTTTGGTTCTCCGAGCGAACCGGAAGTGAACACGGCGTACAGTGGGTGTTCTGGCTTGGTTTTTGTCTCCAAGTACGGAGGCATTTCGTACGCGGGACCCATGTCATTAGGAAATCGGATCACCTTAGGGCCCAATTTCTTTGCTTGCGCCGCAAGTTTCCTCTCGGTTAGAATGAACTGCATTGAGGTAATCTGGCACATTTTAACGAGACGCGCCATGGGCATAGAGGGAGGAAGAAACACAAATGCTGCACCGGATTTCATGATTCCCAGCATAGTTACAACCGCCATTTTTGATTTCAACATGTGGATTCCGACAAAGGTTCCGGGAGCCACTGCCTCATCTATCAGCAGACCAGCAATATGTGAAGCCTCTTGATGCAGCTCCCCGTAAGTGAGGTCTCCATCCCATGCGCTGATAGCCGGCGCATTCTCTCTCTTCGCGCATTGAGCTTCGATTGCTTCTACAATAAATGGCTGGCTCGTATCCGGATCTTGAGGGCTGCTAGTTTTGTTCCAATCCATCAGAATCTTCCATGCTTCTGCTCCCAATGTCTGGAGATCCCGGACAGGCCTCTCGGGTTGATCTAGAGCAATGCGGACGGCATCGGTGAAGTGCAGCAACATCATCTGGAGCAAATCGGGCTCGACCACCGCAGGATCGCTAAACGCATGGACATGGATGGCATCAGCGTTGTCGACGCAGATTACGCTTAGCGGATACTTTTGACTGTAGACCGGCGGGATCGATATTTGCCCTCCCGGATGGGTCGCTACTTTCTGGTTGGCAAGAACCAGCAAGTTTTGGAACTGGCTGAGTTGCATATTGCCCAAACTAAAATTGCAAAAGGCCTCGAGCCCCATATGCTCGAATTGGGCTAATTCTTTGCAGTGAGCTTCGGCGATGCTGACCGTCTCGGCGACTGTGGCCTCCGGCTGAACTTGGAATCGAAAAGGCATAATTGCCTGCTGGCCTGCCGTTGTGCACCGTCCATCATAGGCTAGGCCAAATAGCACGTCTTCTCGGTTGGTGAAGCTGCAAATGACTGTAGCCCACGCCGCTTGAAGAAGACAGTCCAACCTCTCAATCTTGAAGTTCGCAGATGCCTCTTTAGGGATGTGGATGTCCCTCCGCTCTGTCTGGACGGGGACATATGTTTCATTTGGTAGTGGCGGAAATAAAGCGAAGGAGGAGGGAGAAGTATCATTTTTCGGACCGGTCCCGTTCATTGAACGACTATTACCCGCTGGTGATGGTGTAGCTGACATTGCGGTAAGCTTGAAAACAGGGCCTCTTGTTTCACTAAAGGGAGAATACCTGCAGTTTGACAGGGAGAATAGAGAGATTTGCTCCGAGGTTATGCTCCTTTTTAACAAGGGAGTATTCTTAACGTCATTCAGAGAGGGCTTTCGTAGGCGCTGGAAAAAGCAATCTGCAACTGATAAAGAGCCAGAGAAGCACCTTGTAAACCCGGATCGATATTACTAGCCATAGTCCTGAAGAGAGGTGCATGCGTTATGATGTATCACCGCCCTGGGTTGTTGTCGATGCATTGCAGCCAGGACCGGCAGCAGACAACTACTCCGTATTTGGTTCTTGTCCGGCTCGAAAGCAACCTGCCGCAAACCAACGATGCAAGAGAAACGAGGGCTCGCTTACCCTGACATGCTTCGGTGTAGCTCAGCCAGCCTCTGTCCACCGAATCGTTTTGATGGAGGATAGCCCCGGGATCGACAAAGCAGCCACCGGGATCCTGAGCTCCAGGTGCAGATCGTGGGCGTTCAACTTTCCGGCACTTGATCCCTCCCCAACTTCATGCCGAAGATTACAATCCGAACTGCAGTGCGACAACAGCAACCAGCATTCTGCGTCACGACGTTTCTTTTGCGAAGTTCCTCTCAGTCGATCTTCCAATTCTACCGCCACCCGAACTCCGAACAAACAATAATCATGGCTGAACTTGACCTGGACTTGCAAGCCACAGGATCTATGCCATAGGGGTCACGTTGTATCGTGGCCTTATATAGCAATATTCAGCACGCAAAGGCCGATATCCCTTGTGCACAGTCGTTCTATAGAGGAAGGCTTTGTCGAAGCAGCCATGCTTAGCAAATATGAACCCCGGCCGCATCTGGCCCTGGTCAGGGCTCACCTGCAAAACGTCCATCAAACAGTCCAGGCGGGTGACGTCGAGATCGATGGCGACAGTCTCACAATTGGTGAGGTCCTGGCCGTATCAAGGTTAGCCATAGCTCCGACCCAAATGAGCCTAATCCATCCAGTGTTCTGACCATGGCTCACTATTCAGGTTTGGATGTCGGCCGTACCTCACCAAAAATCAGGATACCATCGAGAGTATCAATGAAAGTGTGCAGGTGTTGAAGAAATGCCTGGCCACGGGAGAACCTATCTATGGTACGTTACTGCCATGTTTTTCTTCCATCTTAAATGCCGATGCTGATCTCCTACTAGGAGTAAACACGGGTTTTGGAGGCAGCGCCGATGCGCGCACTGGGCGTGTTGTTCAACTACAGAAAGCGCTTATGCAGCTTCTCCAGAGCGGTATCCTCGTTCCAGGCGACTATGAAGTTGGGAGCGACGACTCTCGGTTTTCCTCCGCTTTGCAGAGCCATGCCATGCCGTCCGATTGGGTTATGGGAACGATGCTCATTCGCTGCAACTCTGTGGCTCGGGGTTATTCGGCTGTCTCGATACCGGCAATCGAGGCGATTCTGCGGCTTATTCAACATCACATCGTTCCAGTGGTTCCGTTGCGCGGGACAATATCTGCGTCGGGTGATCTGATGCCACTAGCATACATCGTCGGGGCCATTGAAGGCAATCCCGGTGTCCATGTCCGTATGGGCAACCAGGTGTGCACTGCAGACCGGATGCTAGCCATGATCAATGCCCCGCCCATCACCCTCGGGCCCAAGGAAGGACTGGGCCTTGTCAACGGGACGGCTGCTGCTGCCGCGCTGGCCAGTTTGGTGATGTACGAGACACATCATCTCGCTTTGTTAGCTCAGCTTGTTACGGCACTGGCGGTTGAGGCCCTGCGTGGTAGTCGTGACAGCTTCAACCCATTCATCGCCCAGACGCGACCTCATGACGGCCAAGTCGAAGCTGCGGCAAATATCCTCTCGCTCCTGGATGGATCACGGCTGGCCCAGGGCCGGACACCCACAGAGAACGATCAGTCGCCGGCGCAGCCCACGAAACAGTCGCAACATCGCCAAGGACTCGTTCAGGATAGGTACGCGCTCCGAACGGCGAGCCAGTGGATTGGCCCCCAGCTCGAAGATCTCATGTTGGCGGACCGGCAGATTGCCGTGGAACTCAACTCAACTTCGGACAACCCGCTTGTCGACTGCTCTACAGGCACGATCTACACAGGAGGCAATTTTCAAGCGACCTCTGTCACTTCGGCGATGGAGAAAACGCGATTGGCGCTACAGATGCTAGGCAAGCTACTTTTCGCGCAATGTACAGAAATGATCGATCCAGGACTCAACAACGGGTTACCGACCAATTTGGTGGCGGACGACCCCAGCCTCTCCTTCACGATGAAAGGGGTTGACATCAACATGGCTGCCTACATGGCGGAACTGGCCTATCTCGCTAATCCAGTCAGCTCCCACGTACAAACAGCCGAGATGCACAACCAGGCGGTTAACTCACTAGCATTTATCTCAGCACGGTACTCGATGCACGCCGTCGACATCGTTTCAATGATGGCCGCATGCTCGCTCTACGTCACGTGCCAAGCCTTAGATCTGCGAGTGTTGCAGCTCACCTTCCTCGAAGCGCTTATCCCGGTATGGCATGACACCCTACAGGCCTCCATGGGGGCATTTCTCCCACAAGCCGAATTGGATCGGCTTGCTCAGCTTGTGTGCGACGCAAGTGCCGGCGCCTGGGCGGCCCAGTCACGCCTAGATCTGGACGAGCGATGCGAACGTGTTGTAGACACGATGCTCCCCATCCTTCTGCCACATTTGATCCAACAGGCGGATCCTTCTTGCGCTACTCCCGTAGCCGCCCTGCAGAACTGGAAAACAACGGCCATAACGATGGTGAAGACGACATACTTGCAGGTGGCGAAACGTTTTTACCAGGCACCGGACACGGCCAACTATCTTGGATCTGGAACACGGAAAATCTACCTTACAGTGCGGGAGCGGCTACAGGTCCCTTTCCATCGTGGATTCATTGAACATCCTACAACTGGTGATGGCTCCGGTGGGAAAGTTGATGGGCGGGAGAAAAAGACAGTCGGACAGTGGATTTCGGTCATATATGAGGCATTGAGGGATCATTGGCTGGCGGGTACACTTGTAGATGCGTTTCAATCTTAGTTGATTTGATTTTATTTATTAATTTTATTTAATACATTTCGCGCTCGAAGAGGACATGTGCATCTGGAATGCTCTGTAGACAAATTGAACTCTTTCACAAGGCCTTGAATTAGCACCAGCATGAATCTTCAATATTTGTGTTGCAATGTCCATCTTCTCAATATCCTCTTGTCAGAAGCAATAACCACTACATGCCGAACATGGCCGTTTCAGATGAAACCAGTAAATTAATTAATTAACCAACTACGGAGTACCTTACGGCGTTACTCTCTATCAGACTCAAAAGACGTAAACGAAAACATAACTAGCTACACATCCAAAAATAAGTCCAAAATTTTAAAGTGGTAACCCAGCTCCAACTTCCACTAACTACATAGATAGTCGGCATACTTCTTCATCAGGTCGTAATCCAATGGCGGAGATGTGGCTCCCCCGGGGAAAGTCGCCAATGCTCGCACGGTGTTGGTATCGTCATATATCGGCATGTCCTCGTAGATTTCCCATCGGGTGAGTCCGCTGTGCACTTTCTCCGCTAGCATTGGGTATAACGGCTGTAGGCTGGGATGGGGGCGAGCGGTTATACGCTCAATCCATTCTGGGTAAGGCAGGCGTTCCATCGGGACCCCGCGAACCTGTCCAAGAAGTTCCATTGCCTCGCCCAAATCAATTGACACCGATCGTCGAGGGAGTAGATGGAACGAGTGGCCCAGAGAGAAGACAGACTCGGATATGTGTAACATGGCTGCAACCACATAGTCAACTGGGATGAACTCCTTGCTTTGATTGGGGAGATCCGGATAGCAGCCGAGGTCTAGAGCCGCACGAATCAGACGGCTAAAGAAATCATCCGGATTGCATGCTCCCGTCTGTTGGTCGCCTGTTATGAACCCGGGCCGGTACACTGCAATAGGGAACCCGCGCCGCATCAGTCGCTGCAGCAGTTCGTCCGCAACCCACTGACTTTGCGAGTATCCGTGGTCGTATGGAAGGGCTTCGACGTGAGGAGCTAATGATGCGTCCTCATAGACAATCTTCGACCCCGTTATACGCCCTGTGGGCCCAAAGCACGAAATGCTCGAACAGTATTGCACACCCTTGAGCCGCTTAGCAATTGCCAACCGCACGACGTTTACCGTTCCTATCGTATTGGCCGGTCGGTGCAAGGAGTACGGTTGCGTATAGTTGACCCGCGCCCCGAGATGAAAAACCACACTGGCCCACTCCGCAACTTCGAGGAACCGTTCTTCACCAAGCCCTAGCCACTGGTCTTCCAGCGTGCCGCAAAGCACAAGAATCTTGGAGGAAAACGTGTCTTTCCAGAGACCATACTTAGCCAACGCCGCCCTAAGCCTCTCCAATCCCTTCGTCGTATTGCCGGCGCGCACCAAGCAACCGACTTGATGCACGCCCGGCATCACCAAGAGCGCGGCCAACAAAAACGCACCCACAAATCCAGTCGCTCCCGTGAGGAAAACGCGACCTTCAGTATCACGACGCCAGTCGACCACTGGTCCATCGGGAAGCTTCAATCCATCGGCAACCTTGGTGTCAGCAACCCACACATCCTGTTCATTCCGGACCGTATCCATCGAGCCCCCGCGAGAATAATCGACGACAGAGGATAGGGAGCCCAACGTTGAATTCTCATAGAGCGTGAGAAGAGAGATGTCTGTGTGAAGCTCTTTCCTAATGCGACTAATCAACAATGACGCCTGCAAGGAAGTCCCCCCGAGTTTGAAGAAGTCATCGTCGTCGCTATATTGGGGGATGGGAGTGGCCAGGATTGTTGCCCAGAAGCGGCTAAGGTGCTCGCGGGTCTGCATCTTCGCTGTATCTTTGTTCAGCGTGTATAGGTGCTGCTCCCGCCGTTTGCGGTACATCTCCTCCAGTTGGCGGCGGTCTACTTTGTTGTGGGCGTTTAGGGGCATTTCTGGTACCACTTCGATGTGCGGAACCATATACTCAGGGAGAGTTGCCAGCAACGTTGAGCGCGCATCTTCAATGGCCGAGCCTGCCATCGAGGGATCGTGGAGGACAACAAATGCTACAAGAGCAGCGCCGGCACCAATCTCGCTCGAGTCAATTCGCATGACGATTGTGTCTGCAAAGTGGCCCGTTTGCATGAGCGTTGCATCAATGGCATTAAGTTCAACACGGTACCCGCGGACCTTGACCTGGTGATCCCGGCGGCCCGCAAAATCATACTGACCGTCACCATCCAGGCGGCGTCGCACCAAGTCTCCCGTGCGGTACATTCGATAAGGAGTCCCAGTCATCGGGTCCACCATGCCTGGGACTGTGATAAAACTGGCCGCATTCTTCTTTGGTTGGTCGAGATAGCCCGGTGATACGCCGGGGCCACCGACAACCAATTCGCCTTCTTCCCCGTCAGGCACCAAGCGGCCTTCCTCATCGCACACGCAGCAAACATTACGACCGATGGGCAAGCCGATGCTCACTTTGCCAGCAGCCATATCCTCGGTGGTGATCTCGTGCACATGGCAAAAAACACAGCATTCTGTCGGCCCGTACGCGTTGATAAAACGGCCTGGACGACCTGCAGAAAAGATCGCCTCGATGGCCTGTAGATTGGCTGCCTCGCCACCCGTGAGGAGTAGGCGCAACGGTTCAAATGCCGTCGGACACGTCGCCGCCGTGAGATTGATTAATGCCGTCGTCGTGGCCATGACAGTGACCCCTCGTTGTCGGATCGCATCCGCTAGTGCGGGTATATCTAGGAGGGTCGCCCTGTTCAACACCTGAATACAGGCGCCGGAGAGGAGTGGCACCCAGATATCAAACAGGGCAAGATCGAAGCTGATGGGGTTCGAGTGAGCCACCACATCTGACCGCCGGACCGGTTCAAACGGCGCATGATATGCTACATGGAGAATGGAGCCTGCAGCAATTTGAACAGCCTTGGGTGTGCTCGTGGTGCCCGAGGTGTGAAGTAGGTGCGTGACATGAGTCAGTCTTGTTGGAAGAGGATAGCGGCTAGCTGCCTGTAGCGCCCCGTTGGTGAGTGGCCCGTTGCAAAACTTCTCGCCGAGGGGAACCATTGTCAAGGAAGGGAGATTCCGCGCGAAGTTGGCTGCGTCCACCAGCACATGGCGGGCTCCGATGCGTTCGAGTCGGTCTTGAATCTGCTGATCGGGAAGAAGAGGATCCAAGGGCACGCAAGTCCCCCCAGCATAGAGGATGGCAACTTGAGTGATAGCATCCCAGATGCTGTGCTGGACGAGAATGCCAACACGCTCTTCAACTCCAAAACCGGCCTGGTGGAGAGCCTGCGCTATCTCGGCGGCTTTGTTGTGCACGGTTTCATATGTTAGACTCTGGCCGTCCGGAGCAGCAACCGCGATTGACGAGGGAGCTTCGGTCACCCGCTGATAGAACAATTGACCCAAACCCTCATCTCGGGCGAGAGTCTCGTCGTATTCAGATGGTTCTGAGATTATTGCAACCATGGTCAGATGTTGAATGAGGATGGGAGGCAAGGAGTGTTGAAGAGAGTGAAGAGAGGAGATGAAAGTCAACTATTATTTCCTCTCACTTGGGAACATAACCGTCTTCCTTAAAAATCTTTGATTCTTGAACTGCTTCGCTTTTTCTGGAGCAGCTATGCCAACCCTGGAGGTGCCAGTTGGGTTACCAAGATGGCGCTCAGCCAGCCATCACGGCGATGGCTAGGATCTTCATGTCTTCCGGTTCATTTCTTGACAACGCCGACATCATACTTGTCGTCTGTACGGAGTGTTCCGTGCGAGTCTCCCCTTGTTTTGCTTTTCCCGTTCTGGATATGCCCGAGTGGCACAGGATCAGCATGTACTTGAACCAAGTCAAAAACCGCATAACGCGGCCCTGCAGATGCAACCTTCTCGCCAGCATGCATACGGCCGATTTTGTTTTTTCGACGGCTTGCGATGACCGATGCCTCACGCCGTGGAACGACACTGGACAGTGTGCAACGGAAATTGCCGGGCGAACTGAAGCAAGGATCCAGATCGACGGCAGCCACCTTTCTCCCGCTTGCCTGCTTTTTCAGCTCCTCTGAAGTCTCCGAATTATATCCCTCGCAGTGCAGTTCATTCCTGCTCGAGATTTCAATTTTTCGTCTCAAGCTCAGACGCAGATTGCAGATTCGTTGTCTCTTCTATCAAACATGGCTGTCCCTACCATCACCATCTTTGCCGCCACTGGCAACCAGGGCGGTGCCGTTGCACGCTCACTGCTGAAAAACCCAGCCTTCAAAGTTCGCGCGCTCACTCGCAACCCCAATTCAGATGCCAGCAAGGCACTTGCCGCTCTGGGGGCGGAAATTCAATCTGCCAATGGCTTCGACATCGAGTCTATGAAGAAGGCCGTCCGCGGGTCCTGGGGCGTTTTTGTGAACATCAATTCGGATGACCAGGTGAGCGGTCATCTCACTCGTTGAGATGTTTACATCTTAGTCCGGGCTTACCAAGAGCGTTTGCTCCTTATTAGGCGTTTAGGAATGAACATGGTCCTACTGAATTTGACATGGGCAAAACTATCGTGGATGCAGCAGCCGAGGAGGGAGTCCGACACTTTATCTTCAGCTCCGCAACCAACTGCACCGAGCTCACTGGTGGCAAGGTCCGAATGAAGGCAATGGACAGTGGGTACACCGGTGCGCAGGGCAAGGAACTTGGCTGACAATGTGCGTCGATAGTGAAAAATAAGATCGAACAGTACGCGCGAAACATCGATAAGTTTGAAACCGCCAGTTTTATCAATGCCGCTTGGTACCTGGAGAACTTCCTGGCGAAGGAGGTCGCACCCATCTTTGGGGGTTTCCCGCATCAGGTAGATGATGAGGGCTACCTAACGTTTGCCGTGCCCAAATGGGGTGGCAACGAGGATGTTCCCTTCATCAGCATGTCCGATGATTTTGGGGATCTTGTGCAGGGAATGTTCCTGGATCCGCAGCGGTGGAACGGGTCCGTCGTGCACGGTTGTAGTGACATCTGCACTTTTGACGATCTCGTCGCCGCCTTTGAAAAAGGTAAAGCTAGACACAGCGAGATGCTCGTTCTAAGTGATGGATATGCAGCTGGCTAACCTAGAGAATGCTAGTCACGGGCCGCAAGTCTCGTTTCCGACCGCTCCCGTCCTGGGAGGCGTTTGACATCAAAGGAATCCCTGAGTTGGAAGATCCAAAGCTCATGTTTGCGTTCACCCAAGCCACAAATGGCCGTTATTTTGGGCCAGAACCATCTGAGAAAGAAACTGCTGCTCTACTGAAACAAGTTACTTCGGCGGCGCTGGGAAAACCGGAGGAGCAAAGACTGGTTTCGGTAGAGGATTGGTTTCGAAAACACTTTCAGGCGTGATTAAAATCCGTTGAAGGTATCATTTTCGGGGGATCTGCGTCGCGATGGACTTAGCCAGTAGACCATATGTAGCGCGGATAAAGATACATGATTTCGGCTTAAAACGCAGAGATAGTCGTCTTGTTTCCCGTAATTCCTGAGCACCTTGACATTCCTATCTGAAGCACTTCCATGTTGCAAAGTAGTCTGGTCTCTTGCATGGGCGATGCTACTCGAAAAAGAAAGCCGCTCAGATGCGGCTACGGCAAAAAACCAGCTACTAGAGATATGCAGTCAACACGTCATGTTATCCCTCCAATGCCACTAGATATATTATCCGGCAGGTCCCAGGTGTTTTTCGCTGCGACTGACCTAGGCAGTCACTAAAAAATAGTGACAGTGACCTCTTCAGAGCTGCAAGAGGGCTCTCCTGTGTTACGTTTTGCTAGGATTGACCAAGAAGCTGCCACAATATGCCTATGCCGGATAGTACAATTGATGTCCTTATCATCGGAGCTGTATGTTTCCTTCCTGTTGGGAACCAGATTAATACCAACTAACGCGTGGATGGTCCAGGGCCCATCAGGGTGAGAAGTCCAGGCCGGCCGAAGAATTACAGCTCTTGTACGGAGCACTCTGTACTAACATCTGTGACGTTTTTCTCTGCAGGCTCGCTGCGGCATTATGGCTGGCGCAATTGGATGTGCCTTTCAGAATCATCGACAAACGCGAAGATCAGCCCCGTGTGGGCCAAGCAGATGGGTGAGTTTCGCTTATCGAGCTTCTTCCTCTCAGTTATGACAAGCATCACTCATTGCACTATTGGCCAGTCTGAATCCAAAGACGATGGAGATCTTTGAACGTTTTGAGATTCATGACCAGGTGACCAAACTCTGGGAGCCGGCAACAGATGAGACACTCTGGTATCGAGATGACAACGGGCAGCTGCGAAGGATAGAACGATATCGGAATGTTCCCCCACCTGGAGTGCGGTGCGTATCCCAACAAGACTGGACTGGAAGCGCTTACTGAGGAGAAGATCCCCTGCAGATGGACGCATGGAACGTTACAGCAGGGTCGGGTCGAGGAGATCATGAAGAAGCGAGTTTTCGAGCTCTCCGGTGTTGCCGTCGAGTATCATACCTGTCTCGTTAACTTGACTGTCGACACATCACAACTTGACATACCCGAGGCCCACCCGTGTACGGTGCTCGTTGAGCGGCCGCAGGGCCAGAATGAGCAGATTCATGCACGATACGTCATTGGCGCGGATGGAGGCAAATCACAGACTCGTCAACTGCTTGGTTTCGACATGCAAGGCAACAAGGGCTCGTCGATATGGGGCGTCATGGACTTTTCGGGCGGATCGAATTTCCCAGAGTAGGTGCACAATGTGGCGTCTGGCTTGCGTTTTGGAGACCGGGGTTGCTCACGACGCTAGCTTCGGAACAACGTCGATCATCCGCAACGACATCGACGGCTCGGTGGATTTTGTTCGTCGGGAGGAAGACTTGGTGCGAATGTATGTTGAACTCAACAAGGGGCCGGAAGGCGAACACATCACCCGCGATGTCATCACCCCCGAACTCATTATCAAGAAATGCCAGTACTTACTTCGGCCGTTCAAGGTAAGCCACTGTCTGTTGTCTTGGCTTCGGCGCGGTTCTTGATTCCTAATCTCACGCTCTTGGAATGCCTAGCTCGATGTGCGCCACTGGGTTTGGTAAGCGTATCCATCAACATGCCGCGGGGACCCTTATTCATGTCGATTAGGTGGTCCGCATTCACAGCAACCCAGCGGCTTAGTAGTGCATTAAGTGCACACCAGCGTGTATTCCTCGTTGGCGATGCCGTGCATACGCACTCGCCTGTTACAGGAATGGGTATGAATACGAGCATTCAGTAAGTGTCCAGCATCTCTCCCGTGATGGGATGGCGCTGATGCCGATAGGGACTCGTACAATCTCGGGTGGAAGCTTGCTGGTGTCATCAAAGGGCAGCTGACTCCACGCATTCTCAAGACATACAGCACTGAGCGAGGGCCTGTGGCTCATCAGTTACTCGAGGCAGACCGAACAGCCTTGGAGCTCTTTAGCACCCCATTCGGCAATGAAACACCCGCCCTTCTACAGAGAATGGAACAAATGCGCATCTTTCTTGGAGGCCGCAGAATCCGGTATGACGATCCCCTCCTGACATGGCTGCCAGTGCAAGAAATGGGTATTTTCAAACCCGGGGAATGTCTGCCTGAAATGCTTGTTACCAATCACGCAACTGGGAGATCCGTATCCTTGCACAATGTGCTCCAAACTAACGGGAGTTGGTGTCTCATCGTCTTTGGCGGGGACGTGTCGCACGGAGGCCAGATGCAGAGAGTTCAAATCATCGGGTCACAACTGAAAGTCCTCCAGGAAAAGTGTCGGGGCTCCGGTCGTAGCTTTCTGAACACGGTTTTTGTGCATTGTGCTCCATGGACTGCGGTGGAACTCGCAGATTTCCCTGCAATTTTCTTCCCCCCGCACGAAGAAACTGGAAGAGATTACCGAAAGATCTTCATTGACGAAGGAACCATGTATGATGAGGCCGGTGTAGATCGGAGCAGCGGTGGACTCGTCCTAGTGCGGCCGGATCAGCACATAGTTTGGATAGCGGGCTTGGACGATTTCAAAGGCCTGGAGCGAAACCTCTCCCATGTCTTCCAGATTGGACTGGATGGTTGAAGCCTGCGGCTTTCTCATGTATTCGAGAAGGATTTTCGGTGTATCTGGAGTCATACATTCTCCCAAATATAGCAAAAGCAATTTCTTTTTTGAATGACGTTGATCGTCGCATGGCTGGCTGATTTGAATCCGGCCCAGTGCCTGTCAAAACATCGGAGCTTGAACCCAAAAGCGCATCGTGCATGGATGGTCCAAGCGAGCTAATGCAGGCCTGTCAGGAGAGCAAGACTAGGATATTCCTAGTCCAATCAATTGGTGTAGATCAATGTGAATGCGTTCCACAATCTATATGATGAACCATTTTCCTTTGCGGACTGAGTAGTTCACCGGAAATCAGTGCACACGGGGTTTTCCTTCTCCTGCGTTTATCCTCCCAACAGGAAAGAAAGGCTCATCATGTTCAGATTTCTCTGGCTGCTAGCCACCTCGACTGTCGTTTTCAAGTCCAACGAGCGGGCAGTTCGACGAGAATGGTGAGTGGAAACACCAAATAGCACTGATAGGGAGCTAGGCTGAGCAATGCCAAAACCACCAGGGGTTCCCTTTCCACAAGCGAGCGTCTCGACTATATCGATGCAATCCATTGCATGCGCGAAAGACCGCCTATTTTGCCCACAGAGCAATATCCAGGTGTTCGGCATCGAATGGATGACTTTGCTGCGTAAGGATTGCGCTCCTTTCCATAAAGCTGCGTTTCTTCAGACGAATCGGGCTGATCTTGGATTGCGGTAGGACTCATATCAACTATACATTAAACATTCACTTGAGCGGAATCTTCTTTGCCTGGCACCGCCAATTTGTTTGGTTGTGGGAGAAGGCTCTGCGTGAGGAATGTGGTTACAAGGGTTATCAACCGTATGAAAGCCCCCTTTTACCTCTTCCATCAGCATCTAAAAATGCTGACTCTCGAATAGATACTGGAACTGGGCTCTCTCGGCAAACAACCTATCCGCAAGTCCTCTTTTTGACGGAAGTCCCACGTCTTTCTCCGGCAACGGCGACCCCATCGATGCCGACCCTGTGATACCGCTGACACCCAGTAACGTGTCAATTCCTCGAGGAACTGGCGGCGGGTGCGTCACCAATGGCCCGTTCGCGAACATGATCCTCAACTTGCCCGATCTAGACTCGGCGCCAAATGACGTTTTCCCGCCAAATGGCTTCCATTACTCTCCGCACTGCCTCACTCGGGACCTCAACACATTCATCGCGCGAGCGTTCACCGGTCAGGCAGATGTCGACCGCCTGCTGGCTTCCCCGGACATTGCCACGCTGCAGCACAACATCGATGTAAGTAGTTGGCCCGCAATCCGTGAAGCAGGCATCATGGGGCCACATGCGGCGGCGCACATGCAGCTAGGGCGTTCGATGGATGATTTCTGGACGGCGCCGCAGGAGCCTACGTTTATGTTGCACCATGCAATGGTGGACCGCATTTGGGCGTTGTGGCAGGCACAGGATCCGGAGAATCGACGGTGGGCGCTGAACGGGACCAGTACAATCATGAACGCGCCATCGACGCCGGAAGTAGACCTAGATACTCAGTTAACATGGGGTTGGCTGAGTGAAAATAAAACACTTCGCGAGATAATGAGCACCAAAGCGTATGAATATAACTATGAGTATGGGGATTAAATCAGACACGGCTGGTGAAGATATCGTAATCGACATTAGTGAGAAAAATGCATAATAAGTGCGGGAAAGAAATGGTCCAATGCCCGCCATTTCGTCTGCCGGATATAGAAGGGTAACATGGGGATGATAATAATAGAAATAGGGGGCTTGGGCAACTGCGTAATAGCTCCTGAAAATATAAATAATTCAAAATCTTCGAAGGGATTTGTTCATCCATCTGCAATTTTTCTCGTTTGGCCGGTCTACCTGAGACACAATGACGAACGTTCACTTTGAATCGTTTGAGCTTACAGCTGCGGACTATGGCTTTCCTATGTTTTATGCAGGATGTGCAATCACCTTCCGCCTGGAGACCCCCGAGATAGGGGTTCCCATCTTGATTTCCGCAGTGAAACGGCTGGCAGCTCATCTCCCTTTTTTAACGGGAGTTGTTGTGCCCTCAGATATCAAGCCCGGAGTGATGGAAGTGCGTCCGGCTCCTAGCCCTCAACCGGAATCG